CATGTGCCGCCAGTCAAGGCTTCATGCGTAAACTCACCGTCTGGCAAAGGAGCCGAGCCCTCGCTTGCGGCCTGGGCCTCCTGTTCTATGCGCCTTCGGAGGTAATTCCTGCAAACTTCAGATTCGCACAAGACGTGGCGAGGCATCAAACACATTCAGTTCCTGCAATCTTCTGCCTCACCAATCTGCTGGCTTCCATCAAGGAACTTGTTTCCATCAAAGTATACAACGGGAAATTCTCGCTGCAGGACACGAGGCCCGTCACGCTCGTATTCCTTCTTCCACTTGAGACCTTTCGTTTCTGTATAATACTCGTAGCACTACGGCATGTGTTCCATCAAGCCAAGGCTCCCAAGTGTACTTGGTATCCCGAATTGCTCTAGGCCGATGTGAGGTAGAAGCAGCGCTGGCAACCAGTCTCTCGTCATCTCCCAGTATGCCAGATATATTCGGCCTGGAATTGGGCTGGGGATTCCGTCCTGTTTTCTTTGCTTTGATTGCCGCTGAAACCACCATGTCGGTCGACTCCAGTCCGGCTGTATCTCTTGTTGGTAACCTTTGGTGTATGCTCTGATCCCCAGGTTTGTCGTCCGGGGATCCCATCCGTGGTGCGACTCTTCGTGCTACACCCACAATTATTCTTCTCCGCTAGTTCAGCGTTGCAGTTCAGAACCTCAATCCCGAAGTGCTTAACGATGACCACATTAGATGGACTTCGTAGCCAACCATGCTTCTCACTCCTCAGGTGCGCCCCAGCACCTCTAAGAGGAGGATATATGAAGTCACGATCGTGCTCATCGCATCATAGAATAAACCACGATCCGTCGAACTGGATGATGATTCGCTTGACTGGGGCTTTGCCATTTTGGAAAACTTCGTCGAAAGATATTGATCTCCTTACGGGTGTGGTGTTTCGATGCCCGTCTTGTTCTGTTGGGTCATTCTGTGTAAAGTTGCCTGTATCAATACGCTGTTGACTAGACATCTGGCACAGTTCACTCACAGGAAAGAGCGCGCAGACAATGGTCTCGCCAATGGCGGAATCGAAATCATCGGACGAAGGACTTGGCGAGACTTGCGTTGTCTCGACATTCGGGTTTGAGACTGGGGCATTTTGATGGGCGTTCAGATCCTCCATTGATGTCTTTGTTTGCGCCGCACCGGGACGCAGATCAAGACTTGTCTGCGTCATACCGAATGAGATAATATCACTGATGACCTTCAGCTAAAATAGTCATAGAGGGGTCATTGAGTCGAAACCTGGCAAAATGCGACCAATGAAAACAGAGTGGGAGATTGAGTAAGAAAAGGCGAAATAAAGGGTGTTGGCCAGACCGGGCGCAGCACTCACTTTATGGCGGCTGGCTCGGGATCCGACAGTCTGGTTCAGGATATCATTGGTTATCTCAGGGTTGTGCTATGGTCGTTGGCCGACGAGACAACAATACCACCGTAACCAACTGCAACAGAATATCTCAGGTAACCAGGACTTCACCGTACTGATCCTTGACCAACAACCGCACTGTCATCACACCATGAGGCAAGGTGCCTCAGACCCAAACATTACTGGACAGTTGCTGCGGGGCAGGTTCCGTTTTCATCGCTTGGCTGCAGGTGGCGATTATCATGTGCGAACTAGTTCCAACAGTTTTGCAGGGTTATCGTAACTGCTAGCAGGGGGGGCAAGACTTGATGGCACGCTGTCGAGGAAGATTTGATTTACCCTCAACCAATCAAAACTGTCCCCAGCACACGGGAAGGTGCTGAGGGCACGGAGGTGATTTGGCGGCGTTGTGGCGCTAAGCGGCTGAATCAGCCACCAAGAGGTCGCCGTGGATATACTACTGATATTTACGACGGCTTATGGTGGCAGGGTGTTCCAGGTTTTTCTGCCTGTTCTAGATTTTTCTGCCCTACTAAGTGGCTTGCCCACTTAGTCAGACCCTACGGGTACATCACACAAGATCTCAAGGCAAGAGAGTGATGCGGTCGTAAATTCCACATTTCAAGCGGGACGGCCCGTCCCTGGTGCTGCTTAATTCGTTTTTACCGCTCTCATCTATGTATGTCGTCGCCCGCGTCGGCTAGTGCTTGGATGAAGACGGCTGTCCAGGAATGGGCGGAGGAACAATCTTCCGGGCAAGCGAGCCAACCAGCTAAGTTAACCACTCCCCAATCCTTGAGTGGGGACTCACGTGCCAACAATGTGGACAAGTGTCCGACCAGCTAGGCAGAGCATAGCGACAAGCAGTGAAGTCACGGCGGCCTCACTTCGACCCGAGGCATCACGACTCGAGTCCATCATCTCCACTGAGTGCCTTACTGAATGTACTTACTCTTGCGAAGACCCAATTTCGACCCTACAATATACGCACAAGCGCTGTCCCTCGCGGCATTCCCTAGTCTCCATGAACATGGCCACGGCGCCGAGCCCCGACGATTTCATCATCGTCAAAACGACGCTGCCGGCTCGGCCGCTGCCCCCCAATGCTCAGCGCCAAACGATAAAGACGGGACGGCTTGTCCTACGGCCACTCGGCCAGAGCGACATCGCCGCCTTTCACAGCCTCCGGAGTCAGCCTGAGGTCATGCATTTCACAATGCAAGGACGAGTGGATAAGGATGTCGCCGAGACCCAGTCCCGGCTGGAGCCCTTCCTCCCGCCCAACGATATCGAGAACCACAACTTTGCCATCTGCCTGAAGGAGACAGGCGAGATGATTGGCGTTGGGGGCAACCACAACTTCGTCTCGAGCTTCGGCTGGCCCGAAGTAGGCTACATGATCCGGAAAGAGCAATGGGGGCAAGGCCTCGCGCCTGAGTTTTTGCGGGCGTTTCTCGCGGCCTGGCAGAAGCTGCCGCGGGTGGAGGCCGAAGTGAAGGTGGATCCACGCTCCGTTGATGGACTTCCGCAGGACGGCGGCGGCTTGGTGCCTGAGCAGCTCATTGCAGTGACAGAGTTAGAGAATGTCCGAAGCCAGAAGATGCTCCACAAATGTGGATTCGACCTCTTTCTTACATGGAAGGCGCAGGACACCAGCGGCCAGAATGGCGAGTTGATTGACTTGCCAACATTTCGATTCTTCTCAAACAAGAAGATCTCTTGAACTTAGATTCAGGTTATCACTAGTGAACTTTCCCCGCTGCGAGAGCTAGAACAGAGACGGGTGTAGGCTATGATCCAAAGCGAAGTAGGGGATAGGGCTCAAGTGTTTGTAGGTTCCCGTCTGACGCTCCTTGTCCATAACTCTTCCACGACCAGTACAACAAGCACGAGAAGTTTGTGGGCTCCAAGTGGTCTAGAAGAATCCAGCAGTGCAAGTTCTTTCGCCTAGAAGCTTGCGATATACCGGGTATATAACGTGTCTACTTGTTACTGGCACTACGATTTAAACCCATAGTGCTGGCTATTATGGCCAATTTTTCTAAATGACCCTAACGATCAGCGCTTTAAATAATTCAATCTTAAATAATTCAACCCAATTATTTTCAATTTAATTTAGGCAATTGATAGGACGCATGAAGAATTGATAGGGACGCATGAGTTTTTATAATATCTGATTCGTCAATCACTTTTTTGTTAGTGCAGGCAGAATTCTGCCAAAGCTCCCAAAGTACCATGAGCTTAGCTCTCCTTAATCTTACCTGAGTAGCTGACGCGCGACGCGATTAAGGTCTCCACCAGCTAGTTATCCACCGCCAGTCTCAACCGTCGACGATTAGGACCCAGGGTTGGAAATCGATCGATTCAACCTGTCAATCGATATCATATCGATCGAGGAGGATCTCTAATCGATCGATATCGTATCGATCAAGCCCCCAACCGATCGATTAGAAATCCTACTCGATCGATATCGTATCGACCAACCCTCCAATCGATCGATTTGATCGTCGATCGTGAGGCCCCGGGTAGGCTGTCCAGGGTACACACACACACACACACAATTTATTTCGCCCGGTGGCTTATAACCAATAGGGCACTAGTTGCTATTGTACATTTTCGTTTCCCAAGCTTTGTCATGATCTCGTAAAAGCCCATACAGCGTCCAATTTCTACTTTTGCTTCTTCCTTTTCAATCTTTCGGCGGGTCTCGTAGGGTTTGTATTATCAGCAACCGAACTTGAAGGCTATTCTCCAAGTGTTCAGAGTCCTATCTACGGCGGCTGAAGCGGTGCCTGCTGTCCATGGATATGTATGTATATATGTATATTTTTCGTCCGGGGGGCCGCGAGGCCTGTAAAAGTCCCCTATTGGGGCACAGGACATGCTGGACTAAACTATCTACAATTGCTGCCGCATTGGACTTTACTCAGACCATCTGCAAGGCCTCTTAGAATTCAGCGCTCGCAATAGTCCAGACCATTTGGACTATTAGTCCAGACTGCAATCCAAGATCAATAATCAATCCACGACGGGCGTTCGTGGATTGACGACTAGGATGATGCGTCCCTTGAAACGAGCCGTGTTGATCTGGATCGCACCAGTAAATTGATCAGAGATATCCAAACCAAAATGGTTGGCACAGCAACAATCATGGGTATCCTGGTTTTGTAACACCATGCCAACAACCTAGCGTACTTAGCGTCCACGCCGGGCGTCCGTATTCCCTGCCCTGATCTGCAGTCTGGACTAATTCAGCCCGAAGGGCGTTTTATTCAGCCCGAAGGGCGTTTTTTCAGCCCGAAGGGCGTTTTACTCAGTCAGAAAGAAGAGCATAAAACCTCTTCCGATTGGCCAATTAGCCTGGCCTGTGCTCAACTCGTGCGCGAATTGGTCGGCTGTTAACGCTACGAAATGAAGGCCTCGCTACAAACAAACCCCTGGGCGTTGACTAGGAAACTAGCGAGCTTGGCAAACTCTCCAAGAGCTTTCAGTTCTTCTTTACTTCTCTGCAATCAATTTGTTGGGTTGCTAAGCACGATCCTGACTGAATAACCCCCGTGCCCTTTACTCCGTACACTAACCTACGTGGCGGATGCTTTCCCTTTTCTGTCGAATCTATCAAACCCCATCAGGTTGCTAACGGTATCTAGGTTCACATATTACCTCCGCAGCCAGCCCACCTCTCAAGATTCCCCGGTTACCTGCCTGCGGGAAGCAGTGCAGTTTCCTCCCTGATCATTCAGACCTGATCTACCTCCCTCAAAGACAGCTTCCCCATCGAGGTCTATCACGGTATTGGACGTAAGCCGTCGCAAAACCTCCCTGCCCGAGCCTTATCCAGCAGTCTAGGTTGGTAAGAGGTGGATACATATACGGCCAGATGGAGGACCATATACCCGAGGCAGTTCGAAACTGCCACACCTGCAAACATGACCTGTCCGAAGTCGAATTTAGAAGCGTCAAGGACCCTACGAAGTTTACAAGAGACTGTGCTAGCTGTAGGGCACGCCGAAGGGAACGTGTAGCCGAATCCCGAGCCGCCGTCGCCGCCATGCGGAACATCGCCTTGAGGCAATCGCCACACAGAGCCACGAAAAGGACCGATTCTCTAGCTAACCTGACGCCTCCAAGGCGGACTGCGCCAACCCCTGCGTCTGTGTACGGCTTACAACCTCCTGCCACACCTGCCTTATTCCGTGGCCTGGCGCCCGCACTCCAGGGACTGCCTAGACCTCTGCTGGGGCCATCTACCCCAAGCGCGGTAGAGGGACCTTCCCCTATCCCTCCTAACCTTTGCCTGCCAACAGTAGTTCTGGGCACGCCGATTCCTCAAACGCCAATTCCTCAATGCACTCTTCCAACGGCTCCTGTTGTGCTAGGCACGCCTATACCACAGGAATCGTTCCCTACCACTCCTTCATTATTGCCACAGGGACATCGTCGCGGCCGCTATACACGTCAAAGCGCACATGCTGAAGAGCGACAGTTTGATCAGATAGTTGATCCACCTTTTACAGGGGACCTTAACTTGCCTGCCCTTAGTGAGGAGGATCAGGCCCTTGTGCGGGAGTTCTATACTGCCCTGAATGACGACAAGATGCATAGCTGCATTCGCTGCAGGGAGCATTGGTTCGATATGAAGAGAAATAGCTTGAAAATCTGCAGCCGCTGCATTAGTCGAGACAGGGAGAGAACCCCTAACGAACCCTACTTCTTTAGCGCTGCGAATAACCTTGACTTCGGGGAAGTCCCCGGTAATCTACCTGGCCTAACGATGGTTGAGGAGATGCTGATTGCTAGGGTTCACGTACACGTGAAGGTTCTACAGGTACGTGGCGCTCAATACAAATACCGCGGTCACGTTGTTCACTTCCTTCGCAATGTTGGTAGGCTATTTGAAGAGCTCCCAGTCCTACCTGAAGAGCTAGATATCGTACTCCTGCGGCCTCCTAATATGGAGGGCGACCCTCACTTCCAGCAGCAGTTTGCTCGCGATTTCTGGGTACGTCGTTCATGTCTGTTGGCCTGGCTCCGTTACCTACAGCGCCACCACCCGGGCTATCGCGATATCGTTGTGAGGCAGGATCGCTTGCAACGGCTTCCTCTTGACGGCAGCATAGTTGCTTCCGTTGCTAGCCAAGTGGCTGACATACCTGACGGCGAGGTCCCCCAAGGCCCCGTTGAGGAGGCTGTAGAAGAGGATCCTAGCGATGCAGACGCATCGGCGATCCCGAATTTGCAGGTTACCGATACCGAATTAAACGCCCTGCAGTCCCGCTTCCTTCATGGTACCCCTGACCCTGAGCGTATGGCCGATCTTGAGCATATGCCGCCTAGCGCGCAGGCTCAATACCAGATGCCACTACCTTCCATTCGCAGGACTCCTATCAACGAATTCAACCGTTCCCAGCCGCTGTTAACGCTCGCGTTCCCTACTCTCTACCCTGACGGCAAGGCGGACTTCGTGGAGCCTCGCCTACGGAGCGTCACGTACCAGGACTACCTTGCCCATGCGATGAGATGGCAAGACGGACGTTTTGCCCGCCATAAGACGTGGCCTTTCGTCGCCCTCAACACGCTGTTACGTGCGCAGGTCAGAAAGCGAAGCAACTACTTAGTCAAGCAACACGAAGGCCGCCGTCAACCCCTTACGCGCGCTGACATAGAGGAAGCGATGGCTAAGCCTGACGAGCCAGAGGCTCAGGTCCTGATCCAGTCGATCACACGCCAAGCCGCCGTAATCAGGGGCACCCGTCCATATTGGTATAAGCAAAGGAAGGAATTGGAGGCATATGCCTACAATCTAGGCAGGCCTGGCCTTTTCGTTACCGCAAGTGCGGCTGATTACCACTGGGAGTCCCTATATCGTCATATGCCTCGATTCCGAGAGTGGAAAGCAGCTCCTGAGGCGGCGCGGATGGCCCTATCCCGGCAATTACTGCGAGACAACGCCCACATTGCCGCTTACCACTTCCATAAGCGTTATACGCTCTTTAGGACTATTGTCCTGAAGCAGAAGTTTAACCTAACGGACTTTTGGGGTCGCTACGAGTGGCAGGGCAGGGGTTCCAGTCACCACCATGGCCTATATTGGTTAAGTGGTCACCCAGATTTAGATCCTGATAATGGTCAGTCCCGGGAGCGGTTCGCCCGAATCTGGGGATATCACATATCTGCTCTTAACCCAGAGCCTCAGCGGATACAGGCGCCTGGGGAAGGGAATCCCCTGATCAGTAATCTATTGGAGCATCCCCTTACCGTTCAGTTCCTATCAATGGTAGTCAACCGCGTGCAACGCCACCGCTGCAACAACTACTGTATGCAGCTCAACAAGCATACCAAGCAGGTAGAGTGCCGCTTTGGATTTCCTCACGGGCAGCGCCTACTAGCCTCCCTTGAAAAGGTTCCTCATTCTAAGCACTGGAGCTTCAGGGGCGAGCGGAACGATAGCCAGATTAACCACTACAACCGCTTGCTTACCGTTGCGTGGCTAGCCAATACAGATGTCTCGCCCTGCACGAGCCTACAGCAGGTGATCGATTACGCAGCCAAATACTGCTCCAAGTCGGAAAAGAAGAGCGAGTCGTTTGCTCAGATTGGGAAGGCCCTGATGCCCCGGATCAAGGACCACAACCCCCTGATTTCCTTCACGTCAAAGCTCCTAAATCAGCTAGTTGCTGAGCGGGATTACTCAAAACAGGAGGTTAGCCACTTGCTCCTCGGCCTGCCGTTACAGGAGGGCTCACGAACCTGTCTGTACGTTGACTGCCGTAATCCTGACATGCATTCCCGCTCCCTACGGATCGATGGCGATGAGGTTGACGAGGCCCCCAACGTCTATGAAAAGTACTGTCGACGCCCAGAGGCCCTAGAGGACCTGACCTACGTTTCCTTTCTCAAATACTGGAATTTCCTCTCTAGGAACCCTTCCATGTGGAAGCAGTGGCAGCCAAGCAATGTTAACGGCAGGCCTCGTGTATTGGTCTACTTTCCTCGCTATCAGGCTGATCCAGAAGGTCAACAGTGGCCAGATTACTGCCGTGTAAAGCTAACATTGAACCACCCACATCGCCGGCTTGATGAGCTCCTCACATTTGACGGCCAGCGTTTTAGTTCTCACGCCAAGGCCTTCTCCTATTGTTGGCAGCACCACAGTCATGGTGATGACCATTACGGCCGGCCAAAAGAGGCTCGATTACAACCTCAAGAGGATCAGTACGAGACTCTGCCTGTGGAGGAGGAATTTGATGATGAAGACTGGATCCGCCTCGCCGCCCTTTTACCTGACAACCCCCTTACCCAGGAAGGTCTTGACCTACTTGGCCGCCGCGATATCGATGTCAATTACGACTGGACACGGCATGTGGGCACTTATCCGGAATTTCGAGGCAGCTACTGGAAAGACCTTATCGCTAGCCACCCTATAGCCAACGATGTGGAGGTCCTTGGCCCTCACTGGCGTGACCAGCTTAACCCACAACAACGGCTCGTGTACGACACCTTCATGGGCCACTTCCAGGCGCAAAATCCTGCTCAAATCCTTCTCCACGTTGACGGTGGTGGTGGTACAGGCAAGTCCTTCCTTATCAAGGTGCTTTCCTCCCATCTTCAGGCGGCTGCCGTACCGAATCCTAGCCCTATTTGCCGCGTAGCACCAACAGGCGTTGCGAGTAACCAGATACAGGGCAGCACCATACATTCATTGCTACGTCTCCCAGTAGGTGGTGCTTTTACCGACCTTCCCCCAGCCGACGCAGCCGCCCTCCAGTCCCGCCTACGGCACGTCAAATACCTCGTTATCGATGAAAAGAGCATGCTAGGGCTTGAGCAGCTGGCGCGGATCGATTCCCGACTGCGGCAGGCCTTTCCACAGCGTAGATTCGAGTTCTTTGGTGGTGTGAGTGTCTTGCTTGTAGGCGATTTCTTCCAGTTACCACCAGTCCGGCAAAAGCCCCTGTATTCGACTAGCACGAGCCTGTCTTCGTTGGAAAGGAGAGGGCAAGTGGCCTACCGGTTATTTGACCGCACCGTCTTCCTGACCACGGTACAGCGCCAGGCTGGTGATGACCAAGCCCGGTTCCGTCAGGCCTTGCAAGAACTGCGTGAAGTTAAGTTATCTATACAGTCCTGGAACCTCCTTAGCAATCGGATACAGGCCAAGCTAACACAGAGCGAGGTTGACAGATTCAGGGCCGCTTTGCGGGTGTATTCTACAAAAGCCCGCGTCAACGAATACAGTTACGAGCATATGGTACACCTCAACGCCCCGACAATACAGGTAGAGGCAAAGAATCAGGGTAACGGCGCGGGGCAGGCGGCAAGCGACCATACTGGCAATCTATCCAACAAGTTTCCTGTTGCTAAGGGCGCCAGGGTAATGCTCACGACTAATTTATGGCAGCCAGCTGGCCTAGTTAACGGCGCCCAGGGTACTGTATACGATATCGCCTGGAATGCAGGCGCCAAACCATGGGAAGACCCCCCAGCCGTTATTATGGTGGATTTCGATAGCTACGATGGACCGCCGTATCTAACAACTAACAGGAAAATCGTACCCATCCTTCCAGTCACGCGTGATTTCATAGTGGGCAACGAGACTTGCGCTCGCACGCAGTTTCCCCTGATCGTGGCATTTGCTATCACTGTTCACAAATACCAGAGCCTAACGAAGGATCGGATAGTTACTGACCTCGCTACACGCGACTTCCAGGCCGGTATTAGTTATGTTGCTGTCTCACGAGTTACCTCGCTGCAAGGCCTACTCCTTGAGGCGCCTTTCGATCGTCAGAGCCTGTATAACCACACGCCCACGGAAGGTTTATACGCCTGCGTTTCATACGTGCTGCGTTTGTGGCTAACTATACGGCAGGGATGAAGACGCGCCTTGCTGACCAACAACACCGTCAGGCTCAACAGCTGACTGATCCGCCGTATCCACCACGCTACATTGACTAAACGATGTGTTGCTGTAAGCTACAGGGAAAGGGGAGGTTTGACACCCGGTATATAGTTAGACTGGGCCTGTCAGGAAGCGTGAGAGGGAACAAACTCCCTTACTACAGGTTTGGAGCGGTTTAACAGCTGGTTACCCGCCGCAAGAAAAAGGGGGGTTCTAGGAGGTCCTTCCAGGAGAGTTGAATTGCAGATACACGATATTTACCCTTCGGGCTGGATATTCAGCCGTTAAGTCTCTTGCCTTGGCAACTTAACGGGTGTTCGAAGTATTTTAGTCTAAACGGTCTGCACTATTAGGAGCCCTGCGTCCGGTGCGATGCTGAGAGAAAAACATTCCTGCCTTGGTCCGCTCGCCGTGGGATAGCTTGCGTCTGCCATATCATGGAGCCCTCGTCCACCTCGACCTGACATTGTAAAAGCTGCTTGCGGACTGTCTGGTGCAGAAGTTATCTCATCCGCCCGAGACGTTGCGATTACCTGTCACCACGCTACCAATGGTCATCGCCCATCGGATTATAGTAGTAATCGTAATCTTCCAAGTCGTCATATTCTCCGAGCGAAGGCATGCCGCATTGTGGGCAGTCGTTGAGGGTGTCGGAACAATTTTCGCATAGATCCAGCTTAGCGCCGCACTCTTCGTTGTTGCACTCGTCAACGAGGCGACAGTTTGAACAGATAGGCTCGTGGCAACCTTCACAGAACAAATCTCCAGCTTGATCTTTGTGTGCTGCACAGTAGCTAAATAACTCTTCGCAGATGCACTGAACACGATGGTGCTTGACGATGGGGTGCTTGATCACTGAAATTCCTATTCATTAGTCTCAACTGCAGAAGTGTAAAGGAATCAGGGAGACTGTACCAGGAGAGTCAACTGCCGTGGCCGTATCATCTGTCGGCCTGGAGGCTTCATCCAACGGGTCATCATTCTCGTCACGTGAGGATTCTCCTAAGCGCTCTGGCTCAGCTGGTGTCGGAAGGCAGCGTTTGCACGAGCTGGGAGCTTTGCACTTGGCACAAGCTTGGTGGCGGATTGTTGGACACAGTGGCAGATCGCAAGACGGGCATTTTGGCAGTGTTCGTTCAGCGCACTTGCCACGCTCACACCACCACTCGCTCGGATGGTCTTCGCAACGTCTGCCGTAGAGTTGGGCGCACCCGTCGCATACGTGTGGTTTGGGGGAAGTACTAGCTTGCCGAGCCGGACAAGCGTCGCCGATGCAGATGAACATTAGAGGATCACCCTCTTCCTCTGCCTCCTGTTGGCAGAAGAGACAGCAGATGACGTGAATGTCGTGAGCGGGAGTGTCGTCGTCTTCTTTACGGTCGCAAAAGAGTAGTTGTTCCGCGCATAAGACTTCGTTGCACGCAGAACAGGCTGCGAGAAGAGGCTTGAGCGGGTCGACAACGCGCTGTTGTTCGCGGCATGGGCCGCAGAAGATCTCGTGGTCGTGATCGAGACATCGTAAGAGCAGATCCACCCCCTGTCCACTGCAGCCTGCCTGGGGACAAGATAACCGTTCGCACTTCTTGCAAGCCGCTAATGGTGCCGCGCAGTCTGGGCACGCTCCGGATACGGACGTCACTGAAGGCTTGACCTCTAATTTGGCCTTCTTGGCTGGCGCAGGCTGAGACGCTTTAAAATCGGCTAGGCGATGCTCGTAGGCCTCGATGGCAGCGGCGCGCACTCGCTGCCGCTCTAGCTCTGCTAACCGCTGTCTCTCTTGTGCCTCACGCTGAGCTCTCTCCTCGTTGCGACGAGCTTCTTCCTTCCGCTCAGGGATCCGCTCGACCCATTCTTGAATACGATCGAGTAGAGGGATACAATCCGCAGGTATCGACGCATAGCCTTGCTGACCTTTCTTGATCTTGACTCGCCGCCGCATGATGTCAACCGTGTACGCGGCCGACTGAGAGGGGTGGTCAGGCTCGCCCTCGACACAATTCAGGATGAGGGCTTCAGGCGAGCCGTCTGCTCTGGCAATATAGGACAAGCGGGCGACATGCCACCAGTGATCAAGTTGACCGACCTCGATCCCACCCACCTCGCGCCAGACAGCTTTGGCAACATCTGCTGCCGCTTGCTGCAGGCCGAGCGGTAGCGCAGTGGTTAGACCGATCCAGCTGGAGCTGCCCGGCATCTTTACCGAAACAACAGATTGTAGAGATTCTAGGACAAGATGGTTGGTAAAGCTGCAAAGATCTGATGGCTCTTGGCGCATACACACATTTATCTCCGAAAAAAAAACTCGAGGCTTCCGCGTTGAAGAGTACGCCAGACTGATCACCTGATCCCATCGCGAAACATTGCCAAGTTCGAGTGGCCCTCCTGGTCCGTGCGTACCTCGTGGCAGTCTACCGGGCCTTCGCTCTCAAATGGGCATCCACCATCGTTTCGAGCTGCCATCCAGGTGTCTCATAATGGTGAAAAAGGGTATTTGCCTCTTGCAAAATGGTGTAGCACTGGCGCTGCTGAATCACGCGGCACTGCCCGGGCAGCCTGTTGACGCTACCTATTTAAATGTCAACTTGACATGGAAACATTGGCATCTGGATAGATTAGGGGCTTTTTGTAACACGAGGAATCATACGAATACGGAACATAAGATAAGGCCATATGAGGCTTGGTCCTCCCGGGCGTAATAAATTCCATTCCATTCCATTTCCATTTACATGTTCGACTCGACTGTTGCCCAACCCTTTTGGAACGCACGTTCCAACCCGAAGCCTGAAGCCCAACATTGATAACCTTGTGACCTCGTATCGGGAACGCCGTGTGGACGGTCCCACTAAAACAGCTACAGCAGAGTGAAAGCTTTCGCGCGAGCAGTCTGTATGATTGCCTACCAATAATTACCGCAAAGAGAAGACGGGCACCACCATATCTTTCAAAGATCAGGCCTTTACCGAGGGAGGTCGAGGTCGAGGTCGAGGTATAATTCGTCACGAGCACCGGATCAATCTGAGGAACCCAGCCAAGCTGATCTTCATGTACCTGAAGAACCCTGCTGCCGATTCCTCGCCGTCCTTCGCTGGTGTTAGCAGCTGACTGTCAGATTCGGTACCGCCGCTACTAAGCTGGCTCGTGCTGCCCCAGCTGCTCACACGCTCCCTTTCCTGCTCAGCTGCGGCGGCTACTGCCTTCTTTCTGCAGGCTACGCGTGCAGCTTCTTCGGGGGTTATCGTGATGCCCTCCATGAAGTGGAGGAATCGCTCGCCATATTCCTGGGGCGGAAGGGCTGAAATCTGTGTCCCGTCGTGACGCAGACCTTTCCAGAAATGCTCGATCTTCTTGCTGATTCCGTACTGAGATTTGATATTAGCACTTTTTGTGAGAAGTCATATGAACATAACTTACGTGAGTCAGGCAGTCGATCAATCCCAGGTAGTAAATCTCCTCTCCTGGCTGATTGTTTTCATGAATCGCCCTGACGCCACCGTTGTCCTCATAGAACAAGAAATATTCCGTGTTCTGTCCCTCTACTAGCTCAGAAGGCATCCGGATACTGGTCTGACCGGTCGGTACAGTTCTCTTTGCCTTAATCATCTGCCGGAATTCTCCTGCCGTCTGGGTATTCTCGAGTTTTGAGGCTGTCCCCATAACGACCGAATGTGAGTCATCGGGTGGTATATACCCCCCAGGATTAAAGACTTTCAGTGCCTTATCTCGCAGGTTCTCCTCGTTGCTCCTTTGCAGGTCATGGATGCCGATCAGAAGGGAGTAGTCCATAATCTGCACCTTTTGCAAAAGTCGAACGTCTCTGTGCAACTGCTCCAAGAAAAGTCTCTTCTTCCCCATTGTCAACACCAGGTGCCGCTTCCGCCGCAACCAGTTCAGATCCTTCAACGTTGCTCGAGGATTCTTCTCTAGGCCGTCCTCCTTATAGTCACGGCCAATGGTCGATCCCTTCAAGTCGAAGGTCTGATGGATATCGCAATGCGGGGGAAATAGGTTGTTCATGACGACAAAGTAAATCTTCTCGCCATACGGCGTCTTAACATTGTGAAGGCCATAGAACTGGGAGAGCAGTGTGTTTGGGTTTTCCGTGACATGCTGGCAGTAATCCCTAAGGACTTTCCGGAGGAACCTATGCTCGGAGTGGCGGATGGTCTTGATGATATACTTGTAGTCCCTGGAAAAGTAGAACAAGCTACCACTCTTTCCTGGGGACGCAAACTCTGACATGACGTACTCCCCCGTCAACGATGTCAAGTAACCTGCCGGATCAAGCCGAAAGAGAGCACGGAGATGACGAAAAACCCAAGGCGCATAGTCCTTAAACTTGAAGTTATACTCTGCAGAAGGTGCCAGTTCGTTTCCGGCACTGTCGAAGTCAGTTCTATCTCGGAAAATGGTGGCAGGGATATTCACATATCGAAAGTCGACTTCCGCTTCGACTCAAAGTCTGTGTCCGTCAACGGCCGATCCAGCTTCGCGTTCGTTCTCGACACAGATACGCGAATTCCCGTCAGCATGCTATACACCGTGACCCAATTGGCATGTTTCTCGTCGACCTTGGTGCCCACCAACACCATATCACCGTCCTCTTCTTCCTTTCTCTTTATCTTGCTAGCCCGTTTCTGCTAGTATCCCTGCGCTCACCGCAAGGCGTCTTCGTCCTGTACGACTTCGCCGCAAGTTATTTCTGAGCGCAACGACCGAGAATTTCTCCTAACCAAACACTAGGATGGCCCACGAGCACCAAGGATTGCAATCGTGGGAGAGAATCGTCCATTGGTGAATGCAGAATCCATATCACCCGTTACCTTCATACGGGCGCAAACTTGCGCATTTCGAAGGTGATGTTTCAGCCCTCCAGCAGCTGGGGTCTGCTTCGTAGGCTGCCTTCTCTCTGCCCAATCTGAGATGCATGGAGACCTGGATCTGGTAGAGCCAATCAACTTTTGCCTTCGATTGTTCTATGGTGTGAGTGTGCTGCAACATCTCCACTGCGGCTCGTGATCCCCCACCACGCTTGTGTGTCCAGATCAGGTAATGATATGCTCCGATTGAAGTGTCTAACCCGGTTTGGTGTAAGGAGACAGCTCAGTCCGAGTTGTCAGGTCCGTCAATTTGCAGTAAACAGAGATGTACCGCCACCCAGTATCACTCTTTCCCGTAGGACCACAGAATTTGGTAGGGTAAAGGTTCATCTGGAGAAGTGAAATGATTTTGCCGTGTGTGGTAGCTTCAGGCGAATTTGGGTGGTTGGGCATTGGGTGGTTGGGGGCATTGGGTGGTTGGGCAGAGGTGCAGTTGCTGACCAGTTTCTTTATTTTTCTAACCTACCCTGTGACCGTAGCACGGGTAAGATGATGCTCAATTTAATGCAGTGTCACCATTTCTCCCAGCGCTCACTTTTCAAGTTTTGTTTCCTGCCTTCCTGTCGGATGGACTGCCTGTGGTCTAATTGCCGGCGCAAGACATAAAATGACGCATCTCAGCCACGTAACTCTCCGCGTCTTGGGTTGCCGACCTTTTCCAAGAGGTTAGGGTTCAAGGGGCTGGGAAAGGTCTGACTCAGTATATTGAGGTATTGGAAGGTTCTAGGAGCAGATATCCAAAAATGGGAGCCATTAGAAGTAAATTGCTTGCAAAATTCCAGTGACTCGTAGTTTTGAATACGAGGGACCTGCGGCTCTGTGAGACGCCCTCCTCATACGCATACGGTATTGGTGACAACTGTGTGGGAAATTGTCGGCATGATAGACCAGTCAGATAGTGGAGCTGGGGACGCGAGACCGCTTCACGGTAACAGGGTTGTTGTTGGGTACTTGAATATCTCAATACCTGGGACTCGTTTTGTCACTTGACTCATTCGTGATCCAACTTTGCTGCTGTACTCACTCTGACCTTTTGCTCGCTCTGGATTCTCCTAACCTTGGCCCAACATTCCTCCGCCTCCAGCCTACGTGCCAGAACTTGATTCGGCTCCGCTCACATCCCATGGTCCTCATATTGCCAGCGCCCGGCACCCCTCAACGCCCAGTCTGAGCAACTCGCAGAGGCCGCCATCCACCCAAGAAAAATTACGTGTGATCCCGGCCATGGGCGTGGACCGCCTCGCCAACTACCTCGCCGCCGCCGGTTTGGCAGCCCGCGAGGCCGAGATTCGCACATTTGTGGCACAAGGCGCCCAAGATGTGCACGCCATCATGACCTCACCCTGGTCGTCCGACGAGTTGCGGCGGATTGCGACACGCGAGATTCACCCGCCCACTCGCGGACGCCAGGTAACTGGCATCATGTGGTACCTCACCGCACTGGCGGTCGAGCGCAACCAGGGCTTTGTGGCTGGTGCTTTCCTCTGCCTTGATCCCCACGGCCGGCTCTCTGCCTTCTTCCGGGCCGTTGGCACACCGCGAACCAGCAGTCACCTCAAGCGCCACAGTGCGCCAGGCTGCACTGGCGGCGTGGACCTGCACGCAGACGGCACCTTCCCGCCGCTCGCCCATGGTCACCGACATGTGCTGTTCATCGCCATCGTCAATGACAAACGTCGTGGCAACTGCTTGTTCCTCAAACCCGAGCCCTACGGTGTCGCTGGTCTCCAAGACTTCATCCACCACTCTGAGCGCTACGTCCGCTCGCTCGCGCGTCGGTTCCGATTTGGCGGTAACGACCGTGTCGGCATGCGGAAGGAACGCATCCCAGATCGCTTCGTGAAGGCATTCGCTGAAGCCGTGGCCCACCTCCCGGACGGCTTGAGCGCCATTGCCGAGGTCGGTAGTAAAGGGGTAGGGGAAGGCATTGGCGGTATGCATGATTATCTTACCACAAAGATCGCTGACGCCAAACTCCCCGAGCCCGCCCACGTACCTCTGGCGACATTGCTGCAACGCCTCGAATCGGAGTACGACTTCGTCGCCTTGCGCTTCGGCAACGAGGTATGCCTCGACCTCGCGGCTGACCTCTCGGGACCACTCCCCCAAGCGCCAGAGGTGCTCGGTCCATCGCCACCCTTGTGGTGATTGAAACGACAGGGGTAGAGCTGATTTCTAGCTATCGTGTGTATTATGTAAGGAGCGCGACACGGCCGGAGCTTCAAGTCTTGATTCGGGCTTACGAATTTCCGACCGGGCGCTGTAGCAACAAGCCGCCGCCACCAAAACAAAACAAAGCCCGCTAGAATTAACCAATGCATTCAAGGCAATTGCTCTACTGCCGTGGCGTCCAGCGCGAATTGAACAACAACCACGGCTATTATTCGTCGAGCAATGTCACCGTATCACAATTCTGCATCTGGACATGAATCCTCTCGTGAATCCTCTCGTTATCCAGGCGTGGCTTGACGAGGTGGAAGCCTCCCCCGTAACGACCCATCCCGTTGACACAACGCTGACAGTCGATCCATTGCTCAACAATGCGCATCGACGTCGCCTTTCGGATGAAATGTCGAGCCCATCAAAACGTCCGCGAACGAGTGAATACCCCGATTCTTACCCAGATCCCGACGAGACTCCAACACGTCCCCGACCTCAGTTATTGCGACTTGACAGTGATGGAGTCGTCTTTGATGATCCAGCCACACAAACGGCGACCTCAACACGTTCAACGTCCTCTTTCACTGCAGTTCTTGCAAGCCGAGCAGCTTTTTCAGCTCCCACAACCGTCCAGCAAGCTCCGACAGACACCTCTCACACGACGCGATCGCGCAGTTCATCTCCCACGAAGCGATTCCAAAGACGGCTAGTCTGTTAAGCCTGGTGCGACCTGTTCGTGTCACGAAAGAGCGTGACCTTGGAAGTGTTCTTCCGGACGATGCCCAAAAGGTTTTTGAGGCTCTGTCTGCGGTCGAGGCAAAAGAGGAGATTCTGCCAACGACTCTTGGAGGGCATTCAGATTTTCGAGATACAAGAATTCGCGGCTTCATGTGGAAATCCCCACAAGCCTCTGATGAATCTAGTGCGGACAACGAGGCAGCGCTTTTTAACAATCATGCACACCTCCGAGGGATTGTTGACGATTCTATTGCTTCATCCAATCTCCATCGATCCGAGGCCGCTTGGAACTGCCTCGTCCACGCCCCGCTTCTACGGCATGCAATCTCTCGCTTTGCTTTTCTTGAAGTCGAGCCCATTGCCTCAGCTCAAATCATGCCAGCTTTTCGTCCTTTGTCAAAGACTGGTGATCGGACCCCATCCCAACCGTCCAACACCAGTGTATCTAGCGCAAGCAGTGCGTCTGGGCAGGATTTGGGGACGCCACAGACTCGGACGAGTGCTGTTGCATCGTCAGTCCATAAGATGGTTGACTTTGCCGTGGTGCTTCGTCCCGAAAAGGTGATTCAGAATCTCATTGACACTTTCTTGGACAAGCAGCCGCACACAATGGCTACCATCAACCAAACGATATATGAACCTCTCCGCACCCGACCAGCTCCTATCTTCATCGAGACCAAGACCTTATCCGGCAACATGGACACTGCCAATGTCCAGCTTGGTATCTGGGTCGCTGCGTGGCATGAGCGTATGCGCAGTATCATTGCGCTCTGGGGAGGAACAGACAAGATCATCACGATCCCCGTCATTCAGGTAGTTGGCGGTGTCTGGACCCTCTTGTTTGTCATGGATGCAGGCGCGGAAATTGTAAGTTACTTCGCACTCATCTCAACTTGAGTATCTAATAATAGAAAATAGCGCGTGCTTGATGGGAACTTTCGGATAGGTGATACCGACAGCATTTTTGGCATTTACCAGTTGCAAGCTGCTATGTCCGCGCTTGCTGACTGGACCAGGGACACATTTGAGCCCTGGTTTACTGGCCTTCTGACTCGCGCAACTGGATCACAGTTCTAGTAGTGACGAAAAGAACCGGCGTCAATTTACAAGCGAAAGAGGTACCGTGGTTATCACCTGAAGTTTGTGTATATTTCAATGAGTATCCACGGATGCAGCCCCTCCATAAGGTTTATCTGCAGTCCGTCCATGTGCTGATCACATACATGGACTAAGATGTTCAAGTCGCAGGGTGCCCTGGCTAACAAACAGCCTACGACTTCAACGAAAACTCAGAGATCTCCGCGCTAGTCACTGGACAAGGATGATAACGCCTTAATCACCCTATGGGTCCCCACTTTCAATCATCAACCGCCTCAATGAGAGCTACCCTGAATATACCTAGGGTGGCTTTTCGCGCGCGGGTTTCAGATGATAAAAACTTCCAGGTAGTAAAGCATTGGTTTACACTGGGCCCCTTAGAGGGCGCCCGTCATTCACAAACTCGAGTGGTTTGAGTAACGCAAACACTGTGTTGGCGGGGTTCTCGCAGGTTATTGGGCGTGGTCAATACCGGTTACGCTTGAAACGATTTGTAGGTGCCTAACCCGGCCTCTTACGGTGAAGCCTAGGCTTGTGCACAGGAGACTGGCATGACGTAGCGCATGTCGGGCAGGGCATCGGGACGATATGATGGCAGAAAGAAGCAAGCTCTGTGAGAGTATCTCGTCAAGCTAGTATCACTCAAGGAAGCAGTCGAACGCCCTAGGGAGTGGTGCGGAAGACGTTCAATATCGGGCCGAAGAGGCTCAGAAAGTCGACTACGATCCCTTAGTCTAATAGCCACATGGTGGCTGTTTCTACAAAGATTTAGTGTCATGACATGATTGGCTTTCGGAACAAGAATCAGCCCGCTTATTGCTCCCTGGCAAATTGACCGTCTTGAGAAATGCATTTCGAGTAGTTCTATCCATGGGCCAATCTCTGATGCCGATCTTGACCGGACAGAGCAATGTTGGGATCTGCAGTCAGCTTCAACAGTGGTAATGAGGATGTTCAAGGTTCCCATCGACGAAAGCTGAGCCATGCATCCCTTCCCCTGATCTCGGCAATGCAGCAAGCACACTTCAAAGACCGCACTCTTTACCCGTTTGGGGCTTTAATGTGACAGTGGCGCGCGCATGATGCTTGAGTAATCCCTTCAACCCACCTCGTTGCTTTTGCAAACCTTTCATACGATGCATAGATGTAATCCTCGGCTTTAGTTCAGATCCCAAAATGGTCTGGCGCCATTCTGCACCAATCAGCCCCAATTAAAAAACCGAAATAAATAAGGGCGCCCAAAAGATGACCCGAACTGCCATAAGCATAAATTAAAGAAGAAGGTGTTAATCTTACCTTGTCATTCAAATTGGTCTTTTTGCCGATCAACTTGCCTAAATCTGGCGATCTGGAGCTAGCGACCTGTGGTATTCAGCCACAAAAGGTCTGCTGTCAGCCCAGCAAGGCAGATTTTTGTCTGTCGTGAAGATCCTGGAGAAGACGGTCCGTTTGAAAAGATTTAAAGCTGCAATATATAATCTGTACTTGTTCATGAGACCAAGGCAAACCATCGGCCATCCAGTTTCTGTCCTCGTTGCTGTTGGCCACGTGCTGAAGACGACCTTGACCACTTGCCCTTCCAACTCCTGTCATTCCCTTATACAACACGATGACGCGCTTCGTTCTCATTTTGGCCCTTTCTGGGTTAAGCATGGGTAGCCTTACTGGCTTTAGCGGCCGAAAGGGCGGGCAACAAAGTGATTTCGCAGGCATCGACAACAAACCGCTATCCTTGAGTGTTTCCTGCTCCTCTCTCGAGACAGAATGTGACGGCTATTGCATTCCCAGCACAGGAGAATGCTGCTCCTACGGCGACGGATCATATTGCGAGACTGGAGACTACTGCACCAGCGGAGGATGCTGCGAGGACGGCGAGATTTGCACCGGCGAGGCTACTGGTTGCGACGAGGGTAAAGAGCTTTGCGGCGACTATTGTATACCCGAAGGCTCTGTTTGTTGCACCGACGGCTCTTATTGCGACAGCGGCGAAACTTGCACCAGTGATGGGTTCTGCACAACGGGCGGCGACAGCAGCAGTGAAAACGCCACGGAAACTACGCAACCGACTAGTACATCCACGAACGGGAACGATGACGGCGACGACGACGACCAGGGCCACACTCTCTGTGCCCGCAAAAGCAGGGGCGGGGGTTCTGACAGCACTGACGACGCTGACGATGGCGATAGCGACTGCGGCAACGATGGCGCCGGCTCGATTCTCACTCCGAACCTAGCGGGAACACTTTTGGCGGTTGTTATTCTTCTGCTATAATTACTTTGTGTGTATTTCGTCGAGGAGCACGTTATAGTGGGAGTTCAAGAGGCTGGATCAGAGTATCCTGGGATGGGTGTATCAAAGGGCGAGCACTGAAGTTGTGGGATGGGCCTGTACTAAGTTGCTGTACATATTCTTTTCAAGAATTGTTTCCTCATTTCTCGATATGCGCATTTGAACCAATCTCTCAAAATGTCTTTATCTCGCGGTTGATATCCTCGACTACTTTATCCATCAACAATGAGTCTCAAGGTCGGGAATCAGGAAGTGAGCGCGGGGTCTTCCGATGTGATGTGCTGAATCCTGGGGCGCTCGTGTCTGAGCATGTTGATTGGTGCCTGGATCCAGTGCCCTAGGCTCTGCGTCAAGTTTGGGCTCTGTCCCCGCCTGAGATCCCATGTCGCAAACATCTCCCTCCTCAGAAAATCGGCCGAGGATGCTCGTAAAGACGCGAAGCTCTGGGCCAGCCGGTCGGAAGGCGACGACACAGTGGATGTTGACTTCCCTCTGGATGAAGGTGATTATGGCGACGAGCCAACCATCGCAGCGCATCACCAAGACTATACGGCTCTCCTCCAGACTCTTCGAAATGCCGTGCGAGACTCCGACGCAACAAGGGACTCCCCAGTCTTGCAAAGCCTGATCCGAGACCTTTGCCAGGAGAACCCGGCAGAAGAGGGCCGGCCTTTCATCCAGCGTTACGACGATTTCTATCAGCAAATTCGCCGTCATCAGGACAGCGTCTTGTCCCAGTTTCCGATTCCTTCTGTGGAAGACATTCAGGCCGCGGCGAAGGTCCAGGACTTGCTGCATTTCCAGATGCTCAATGACATGGAAGGTGCTATTCAAGGTGGCACAACCTCCATTGGTAACGCTGAAATCGACGATCTGCTTGTTCGGCAGTGTGACACGGACATCCCCATTCCGAGACGGCTGGAAGACTAGCCATTCCCCCCTAACCCCGACAAGACAGCTCTGGGCTGTTATGTGGCCTTCCATGAAGAACCAGGAAAGGCAACTTGAACTATATTTATTCCATTCAGTTCGTATACTCCCGTCACTCGTTGGGCATGAAACGGCAGCACTACGGCCGACATCAGTGAAACCCCCATTGCGATTCCCAAACCATTCCAACCACCGGCTGGGGCTGTGGCCCTGAGCTACCAAAAACTCCCTGGTCGCATCTGGACGGGGTGGGCACATTTGAAATAGATTGGCTTGGCGCCGGGAGCGGTTCTTTTTGGAACGGCTCTAATACCATATCAAACAAATCATATCCGACTTCCGAGAACCTTGGGCCTTGCTGAAAGGGGTCGGTCCATGTTGGCGTGGCACTTTCCATCTCAGGCGTTTGGATGCTCAAGGAAGCTGTTCCACTTGTTCTACTGCCGCTTGAGCCCCTGTGGTGTGGAGGTGTGAGTCCGTCAGGGAGTTGAAAGGCCGAAGAGCAAGATAAGAGGCCATCGACGGACTTTCTCGCTTCGTTTGCAATATATTTCTGGATGAGAACGCAGTTGCAATCAGTATGGCGCAAGAGCTGGGTCTTCCAGTGGTAGATCTCGGCAGTCAGCTGGTCGAAACAGGTTGAGAGGTATCGGTTCTGATCGTCCATGGCTTGCTCACGGGAGGCGAGTACTGACGCTTCATCCCGTTTGCGCAGACGACACTCAGTAGCAGCGATTCTATTGCGTTCGAGGATGCGCCGTCGTCGGGGGTCCCTAGGAAGATCCTCGTCGTCATTGCTCTCCCCCTTTTGTTTTCGGCGTGCCTTTGCAGGCTCTTTAGGTTCGACTTTGGGTTTCCGGCCGCGTTTTCTTGGTTTCGGTACATCCGAAACGAGTGCAGAGGCACCGGTTTCTGACAGGCTTGAACTTTCTTGCGATTTCCGTCGGTTTCGGGGTCGGCGGGGCGGTTTCTTTTCGCGTTCTGCGGTCGGTAATACTGTCTGGGAGGGTTCATACTTGGGGATCTTGGCTGCCATGACATATTGGGGTGGAGGTTGGGGAAACCCGAGATCGACCTCTGTCGAGATCGGGGAGGTGCCGATTGCTTCGTCAAACGAGCCCTCGGTGACTTGGTTCATCGCTTGTTGATGGGCCATGTGGCTTCGAGATGCAGGGGAAGATGTGCTGATGCGAAAAGGTGGAGTGGTCATCAGGCATCCCGCCGCTGGTGTCGAGGCGATCCCGTCGAAGTATTGGCCAAACGCAAAATCTCCCGCCATCTGAGGGTAAGAATGGACGAAGGATGCCATCGAGGATCTTTCTGCACAGATGGTGATCGTTCTTCGGTTTCGATTTATACTATTCCGGGGTTGGGTAGGCAGGTGATTACGAGGCCGACTGGTTGGGGGCCGGTTTGCCAACGAAGACAACACGCAGAGCTGTAACGCTTCCCGGTATTACTTATTCGTTTGCTGGACGGCAGCTGAGCGAGCCAGTTGTGTCTGGACCAGGCAGGGCTGAGAGGCGGTTGGGGAGAGGAGCAGGTCTGAAAGTGGATTTGACGGGTTAAGGAGTGGGCCGGCTTGGTAATTGACAAGCAGAAATTCGCGGGCAGGGTTTTGAAGGAAGGGAATCCAAGAGAATGAGGGGACGCGAAAGGATTGAGGGCGACGGGACAATCAAATATGCATGGCATCTCGCAAGCCACCGACTGCCAAGGTCCTTGCTCTCAAGCTATTAGAGCTTTGCCACCCCCCAGCAGGCCCAGGACGGGCACACCTACATGTTACATGCTGTAGGACGCCGGGAGGGGAAAGAGACTTTTCCTATGAAAAGCTCGAGATTCAGACATCTTTCTGCAAGGTGATGGGGTCAACAAGCCCTCAAGTCTGAGTTCACGGAATTCCGATTGGGCCACCCTACTGGAATTGTTGTGGTTGCATTGCACTTTCCAAACCCTGACGTCCCGGTGCAGCTTGCGCAGCCATGCCCCATGGCAGCAAAGGGCAACAACAAGATAAACGAGGGTCTAAGCGCCGCAGTATCTCCTTGCGCTGCGGGGGCCTTATCGGGCACAAGAGCTCCAGGTAGATCATACAATGGGGCCGTGGGGAGAGGGGAACCGGGTGCGAAGGCCGACAGGGTGGACCCTGGATCCTTGCCATGGGGAACGCCATGAACTGGGAACTGGGAGCTGCGAGACGAGGTGTGTGCGTTCTAATTACCGTACCGAAGGCTGGGGGACAGTGGCGTTTGCGGTCCCCTCCTCCTGGAAGATGCTATGGCAAGTGTTGCCCTCTCCAGGACAAGCGTGAGGACAGGTTTTTCGCGAACCTTGGGCTAAGGAACCACAAGGATTTATAACTCCTGGGCTTGACGCCTTGGGATCCTATACTGGTTCTTTTTGCGAGACTCCCATGATCCAACGTGGCTATCGCCGTTGTGGCTACAAGACGAGGCTGTGGCACGAACTCAAGCTCCAGGCACACGGTACGGAGCACAGTGAACGCCGTTGAGCTCGGTTCCTGCTACGGGTGCAAGATGGATTTCAACGTTCAAGGATCGATCGCGATCCTGACCAACTACGATTAGGGTTGAACATTAGCTGCTAATGCCAGCACCACTCGACCGAAGCTTTGCGCTCCTCTGAGTCGTCGGGAAGAAAGCTTAGCGGTCGGGACGGTTTGGACCTGGAGTGGAGAGAGGAGGCAACGTAGGTTGCCCTGCAATGAGCTCCATGCATTGTGACTGGCCGGAACTCCGCAGCTTAGCTCCGATCTAGCTAGCTAGCAAGTACCTCTTGTCGTCGATCCAAATCAGAGCTATGTATCAAGTCGGATGCTGGCTGGAGCAAGACGCACAGCCATCGACACCGTGGTATCATCAGACCACAACGTTGGACAGTTCGGATTTACCTGGCCAAAATCCTCTAACGCGCACCTAAGAAAGCGGGGATCCGTCTTTCACCCTCCAGATCCCCGCCGGTGGTGTGTTTCAAAGATTTGGGGCTTGGGCTAGGCCCTGATATGATGATATCAGCATTGTGGGGCTCTCGAGATTTGCCCGGTCCAGGCCAAGAACTCACCGGTTGCAGATCTAGAGGGGAATAAATGGCGTCCTTCGTGCTAGCTCTGTCCCAGGCGCAAGGGCCTTTGTTTTCCAACAGCTCCACCCCTTCCCACAGGCAGACGAACAGGTGCCCACACTCGGCGTTCCGTTGGGAATGGCGACGTTGGAGGATACTGGACCCCCTCCGCAACGACAGCGAGCGGAGGACGCCAGCCCATCGGAGGCTTCCCGAGGACGGAATCGATCGGACCAGCTCGAATAGTCGATTTCGGCAATTCCCTCCTTCATAGCCCATGTGATCAGTTTGAGCCTCTGTAGAAACTGAGCGAGCTCATTGGTTGTTTCCGAGGGACAACCCGGTGCCGGCCCGGTCCCAGATGCTGCTGGGATGCTGTGTAGAGATACTTCCCGATCTGTATCCTCTTCCTTGGCCGTCTTGACTCTGGAATGGTGCTAGCTTGCGGAGTTCATCGTAATGAATTGTGCAAAGGCTTGTTCTTCTTGATGCCACCCAGGCCGGAGCCCACCCAGGGCCCGAGGCCATCTGCCTCAATCTGGTACGGTGACATCATGGTGTGGGCCCTCACATGTGAAGAGATGGGACAGAGAAAAATGGGCCACGCCCAAGCTCCCAGGAGCAGCCTCACAACGTCGAGTAGTGGCCGTGCGCGATATTATTTAGATCGGCGGAGATCAGCGGCTTGTCTAATTTTATTTCCCTTCATGGAACATCAATTTATCTCTGTCAGAATCAGCCCACAGCAAGAGCGCCCCTCTGCTGGAGGCATGTGCGCTGTAGAAGTTGCTTCAGTGGCTTGACCCACCAGTCTGAACTACGCAGTAAACGCCCCCGCAGTTGCTCTTCTCAGTTGGGCCTCTGTGGCCCATCAGGTCCCGAAGTTGGATAAAACCTTCTTGGGCAGAACGTCATCACCAGTCATTGGATTCGACTCAACCCTCCAACAGGCTCTTCACTTCGAACCACCGGTCCATACTACTCTACTAATTTTGGCACCATCCGACGTTGACACTATCGCCATAACCGTCTGGTAAGCGCCATCGCCCTCGGATTTGGAAACCTTCACCTCGATCTCTATCAGGTGGAGCGACTGGGCTGCAACATCGTCGAACACCGCGTTGTATCCATTGATATTTAGCTTCCATTTCGGATTTCTGGCCCAAAGTTCGCGACACTGGTAAGCTCCGCCATCCTGCTGCTCAAGGTTGAGTCATGCTACCCCCGTCCAGTGATCGGAATGGTCTGGTCTGGTCTGGTCTGGGGGTCCAGACCAGACCAGACGGCGCCGCCTAGGCTCACGCACCCCGTGCGCTAAACTCGCGCACCCTGACTAAGCCTCGCCAAGCAGGCGGGGCCCAATAGGTGCGCACCTATTGGGCCCCCAAGCAGGCGCAGCGGCATTCTGATCAGTAACTTCACTCAGGGCAGCAGCAGGATAGCAGTAAAACAGCAATAGAACTATGAAACCCTTCTAACAATACTTCTGCTGCTGTTCAACATGATCTTGTGCAGCTGCCTTCCAAATATCATTCAAGCCCCGTCTTCTTGTTGCAAAGCCCTCAGCTTCCATCTCTTTCCGTACTTGATCTTCAACGCGTTGATCTTCTAGCTTAGTCCAATCTAAATAGGCCATCATCTCTTCCTTAGTCCATGGCCGTCGGCTTGATCCCACTAAGCAGCCACTATTCATCTGCTTCCAATTGCAACACCATGCATAATCAGCCTTGCTGTATCGTGAAGGCAGTCCCTGTGCCTTTCGATATTGTTGGTTAGTCTTGATAGCGCCTCGAGGCTGCATCTTGTACCAAGCTTCTCTTGCCACAACATATTTCTCATAGATAGCCTGCGGGCTATCATATGCTAATCGTGTGACTGTCTGTATAGGCGAGGCAGCAGGCGAGGCAGCAGGTGAGGCAGCAGGTGAGGCAACAAGTGCCTTTGTATGTAAGGCTGCATATTCCTGCTCATCTGCCATTAGTAGGGTCTGCAAATCTTCCTGTGCCCGCGAGGCTTCCTGTGCCTGCGAGGCTTCCTGTGCCTGCCTATCTGCAGCTGCCTTGTCTAAGAGCTCTTGATGCCGAAGAGGGCATGCTTTTGAAGTCATCATATGACCTACTGTATGGCATCTACTGCACTTTGGCGGCGCCTTACGCTTGCCTATGGCCTCAATAGCCTCAAAAGAGCTTGGGTGTCTCTTAGTGCTTGATGCTGGTAGAGTGGATCTAGCAGCCCTTGCATCCACACGATTCCGAGGCTCAAGCAGCAGCTGTGGCTTTCCAGGACGATTGAGATGCCAATGCTCATGAAAATGTTCAAGACGAAGGGCCTGACCTTGTTCTTGTAAGGTTTGAAGGATATGAGCGCAAGGTAGCCCTTGGGTTCGAGTAAAAACACCTGTGCAACTAGGTAAAGGTGCCTCGGTGTCCAAAAGTCGTTTCCTTTGTTCCTCAACCTTCCGCAAGGCATAGTGAGATACCCAGGCTTGTACACCTGAATAGAGATGCTTTGAGAGCTCTACTGGGTTACGGACCTGCTGCATAGCCTGATTCGAACGAAGTTCAGCAAGCTGATGGACTAAAGCCCGGCTCAAAGCCCCCCAAGCTTCAAAGAGATCTAACTTAGATGTCTTCAAGTAGCTTTTTAGCATGCTATGGATACCTTCAACTGTAGAGGTAACAACAGTGCCAAAGTGAAGGTGCTGATCAACCCAGGCTTTTACAAGCTTCTGCTTATAGGGGTTGAGCCACGTTGACTTCAGATATGCAACCTCATTTACATAGGCAGGCAGATACTGTTGTTCAAGCTCTTGCACCCGCTGTTCAAAGGTTGCTTGATCTGGTGAATAGATAATCGAATGCCAATGGCTAAAGAAGCTCTGCCAGGCAGCATCGCCATCATCAGAGAGGCTTAAGCCTAGCTGTGATAAAACAAAGGTTGGCCGACAATTGGTCAGGACTGCCTTGTTAGCATGCCAAAGGCATAGCAGCGAGATTGAAGACGGAAAGCAGATATCAACTGCATTCATGCATGCCTTCGCACAATCTGTTAGGATAACAGATGGAAGTCTGACTTGGCAGAGCTCATAGAGGGATTTAAGCCTCTCAAGAGCCCAAAGGTAGTCCTCTTCATCTTCGCCCCTAAGGAAGGCAAATGCAATACAAAAAGACCGATTGGAAGCATCAATGCCGATAATATCTAGCAGTGGCATACCGTATCTGTTGGTCTTATATGTACAATCCAACAGCAGCAGATCTGGATATGCTTGTAGATAGGCAAGCGAGTCAGGATGAGCAAATAAGATAGCTTCTACCCGATTATCTGCATCAAGTTGTATTCGACTCCAGAAGCCTTCTTTATCAAGCTGATTTGCAAGTGCATGGATAGTATTCTCGCCTTGGCGGGTATCTCGGCGGCTCTGCATGATCTGATTTGAAATATCCTTCTGCGTTGCAAGCGTAGTTGAATTTTGCTGTAGATAGGTTCTGATCTCCTTAGGAGCGACTCCAGCACTTGTCAGACTGCTGATTGTTGTTTTATTTTCAGCACTAAGCTTCCGATGTATAGGATGAGCAGTTGGATGACTGCTTGGCTCGTGGTTGTGTGCAGCAAAGCACCTATCTTGGCGATGGCAGATAGCCCAACCAGCTTCATCTCGTAGCTGCTTTCCAAGAATTGAGAAAGGGCAGCCACAGCCTCGTGTAGTGGTATTCCGAATCCGTTGTTTTGAGGCGCTAGGGGGCTGTAGGGCGCGGTCACAAGTGAATGTAACGATAATTCTTCCATTCCTATGCCTTGTTGACCTTCCAGTTGTAAAGGCATAGCCTCGTGGTAAGGCCTAGTTGTTGATAGCCTGAAATAGAGCATCTCGAGATAAATAGATACCTTCGGGAGGGAGGCAGTCAGGAGGAAATTGGTCCATCTTGTGATATTAGAACGATGAAGATAGAGATGGTGTCAGACAATTGGCTCCACAGGATCATTGATGGCACCAGTTAATTGATGAGAATTATCTAAGGAGCAAGAACTTAATGACAGGATGCACTGAGTTGTGCAGCCCTTTTATACACAAATGAAAACCCACTGGTTGCTGGGTAATAGCAGCTGCATACCAGGTAATACAAGCTGTATGCCAGGCAGCTTCTATAGAGGGTAGGCTTGGTATGCGACATGATGCTAATGCGCTGAGGGTGCTTAGTCAGGGTGCGCGAGTTTAGCGCACGGGGTGCGTGAGCCTAGGCGGCGCCAGACCAGACCAGTTGCTTACATAATAACCGGTCCGACCAGACCGGTCCGACCAACAAGACCGCCAAGAATGAGGCTGAAGTAGTGGAAGGAAGAGAGGAAATATAATTTACTACTAGCTATCCATCCAATCGTTGTCATTCTCACTATCCTCGCTATCACTGTTATCCTCAACCTGGGGCTTCCCATACCAGGCCCGGAGACACTCACAAGCCTCTATAATATCTGCCTTCAGCCTACCACGGCGATCAACTATAGTAAGCTTTGCGCTACTAAAAAGGCGTTCGCACTCATCTGACATAGGTGAGATCGCAAACAGATCCAGAGCGAAGCGAGCGAGATCTCTTTGGGAGTCATAACGGGATAGCCAGTACGCAATGGCGTCATCGCAACCTGCCTCTTCGTCATGGAGCCGGTCGGTAGAAATATATTGTTCATACAAATCAGTTGTGGAGACCGGAGCGTCTATTCGAATACGCTTGTGTTCCCGCTGGCGATCAAATGCTGGGTCAGGATCTCTCTCCTTCCTGACTGGTGGTGGTAGCATCTCAACAGGGCACCTTCCCTTATACTCTGTCTCCCAGAGATGCTTCACCGCTGATTGTGCGTTATCAAACCACCTCTTCTTCTCTTCGTCGCCGTGAAGAACCCACTCTTGCCTGAACCACGCCCACTTGCGATATGGATCGAGGATTTGAGCCGCATAGTACGCCGGTGGAAGGTCAGTATCTTCAGGGAATCGATTCTGCCAATTCAGCTGCTGGTTGTTGTAGTACTCGGCGCATTTTGACCACGCGGCATCTGCGCAGCTTTGAAGGTACTTCCATGTAAAGTTAGTATCGTCCTCAGCGTGGATGTCGTGGTAGTGATCCTTCGTCTCGCTTATCTCTCGAAGAAGGCAGTCCAAAGTTGAAAACCAGTCAGCAAGTGACGTCTTCTTACCTTCAGAAAGCAAAGTTGCAGCGTAGAAGTCTTTTAGAGCGAGTTCAATCTTTTCAAGCTCGAACCAGTGCTGTCCATCAAGTTTAAAGTTCGCAATCCCTTGAGAGCCTTTCCCAGGTACATGGCGAGCTGAGAATATCTCTAAACGTTCCCGAACATTCAATGCCCGTGTAATTGAATGAAACCATGAATTCCAGCGTGTCGAGTTGTTCTGGATAAGCTCGAGCCCGTCGAATTCAGAGAGATCTCCGCCGATAATGATTGCAGCAAACTCCTCACGGCGTTGTGGAGTAAGCCTAATGTATCGTACGAGGTTGTGAAGCCGACCTAAACATCCAAATTTTTTCCAGAGCTCTTCCACCTTCGCATAGTCTCCGCGTTGATAGTGCTTTTCAAGCTTTGCTAGATACCTCTCACAGTTCCGACCCATGAGAAACGCCTGGCAGCAGAGGTTGACAATGTGGCCCAAGCAGCGAAGTCGGCGATGGCGACGTTGTTTTGAGTCCATCCATGGGCAGAGCTCCTTGAGTATGAATTCAACAGCGGTATCATTTGACGAGGCATTATCCAGCATGAAGTATCCAATCTGATCTCCGCCAATATCATATTCTTTTAGCAATTCAAGAACAACTGATCCAAGATTCTCGCCAGTGTGTTCGCCGTACACACGTCGTATACCCAAAACGGTAGTTCGTCGCTTGCCGGCAGTATCAATCCACATGGCGATGACACCTAGAATAGCGTAAGGGTTTGGCGAAGTCCAGAGATCAAAGGAGATGGAGATTCTACTCCGTGAGCGCTGGAGGTCCTCTCTGAGCCGTTGCTTCTTCGACAGAAAGGCGTCCATAACCCAGTTTCGAATAGTTTTCGCTGCCTTGGGGAGGTGGTTGAGGAGTGCCGGATTCAAAAAGAAGAGTAGTTCTCGGAAATACTGATTTTCTAATTGAAAGAAAGCAATATGGCAGTACACAATCCAACGAATTAGAAGCTCTTTGAACTTCTCAATTGAGTCTTTCCAGAAGAAGGTATTAGTAGCAGCCGCGCCCTTCTGCTGATCCAGTACAGACTTCCGTGTCGAACTATGTTTCTTGATACCACTCTGGGGATCAATCTGGTGCTTCTGTTCTAGGTGATTTCTGACCCTAGAAGTGCCATTGATAACAAACAATTCTTGCTTGTTCTTTCTAACCGTGCACTCGTGACAGTAATACACCTCTTTCTTATCGCTACCTCGAATGTATTGGAGGCCATACTTCCAGATGTGTGATGAACCTAGACGAAATCCCTTCTTTGCAATTGTCGCGCGTTTCACGTAGGTGATACGGTCCTGTACGAACTCATCCGGAGGTTTGTGATATCGAACAGGGGCTGGTGATAGAGTAGGGGTGGGTGACGACGTAGGGACAGGAGATGGTGTAAGAGACGTTGAGTTTGGTATCATTATAGTCAATGGAGACGGTAAGGTTGGAGTTGATGACTCCATAACAATAGCATACAAGCAGGTTGTTATGGACTTGATTGTTTTATGTGAGTGGAAAACTCAGCTGTTCTCAGGGGTTCATAATTTCATTCCGTACTGAAGGTTCTAACTGCATTAGTCTAAGATTCAGCCACCCCGATCTATTTATAGCCAGACCGGTCCAGACCATTAAGACCGGTCCGACCATGGTCTTGAGAAATCCTCAGACCAGACCAAGTCTTGGCGGTCTAGACCAGACCAAGACCAAGTCAGACCAGACCATTCCGATCACTGCCCCCGTCCTACATCCCATAAGGTGCATCTCTATGCCCATGCCATAAGGGTGCATGGGACTATCCCCGGAGAAACTAGTCAGATGATTAGATGACGACACAAACGTTCAATTCATTCTTAGCGGAATGAACGTTATGATGAAGCTTAGTGAACAGCTTGTGGCTTATTCTGCTAACTCCAGCTAAAGTTGGAAGTGGCATTGGGCCAGGACTCCCATCGCCACCCGGCAGACAAAGACAATGATACACAACCCACTCGATCCGTAAAGGGAGTTGTCAGGAGTGGGAAATTCAGGAATCCTGCTTTTTTGCCAGCTCAACCCTGTGCCTGATTCTCTTGCCCTTGCCAAAGAGCGGGTACAGAGTGCTTGCCAGTCTCTCCCACCATTCCTCATCCCCGGCCACCCAGGTCGTGCCGTTCGAACGCTGTAGTTTCTCTTATCTGCGCTTGCTCCCTGAGTCTTTTTTAAACAGGAATACTTCAGCGTCCGCGGACTATTAATACTTGGACGCCCCTGGAGAGACGTTAACATCTGATGGTGTGAGTGTTGATGATATTGTGGGCACCTATTCCCGCCCCGCGAATGGAGTAGAGATATTTCGGCTTCAACGCGATGCTCTCCTCTTCATCTTCGACTGGTCCAATGATATATTGTACGCTCTCAATTCCTTCTCTGCCTTGGCCGATACCCCGGCATCTTGGGCTGGCGACGTTGAGGAAGACTACGTGATATGCGTAGAAGGCGAGCTCGAACTGTGAATCGATGTTGGCGTCTTCTCGTATTCTGACAGCCGACATGAATCAGAGCAGTAAGTTGCTTCCTCTGTCTGGATGCCATAACTGAGGCATGGATTATACGTCCATTCCAGACCTGACAACATATTGGAAAGTGCTGGAAGGCCTGCAGATGTTGGGAGTAACACAGCCGCGGCAGGGCTGGCGCATTCTTGTATTACAGAGCTCTATGCTGTTGTGGAGTAGAATTTGCTCTCTTCAGCCACTGACGCAAGAGGCAATGTGCATCAATCGCCTCTTCAGTCAACCCCCCACATGAAGAGAATTTGGATACAGCGAAGGCCTATGAGTTATGCCAAACCCCTTTGTCTGCGACGATAAGCCCTCACCAGCCTTTCTTCTGAGCCTCTGTAAAACGATAAAAATCCGGTTCCAACTTCTGAGGTGGCCGATTCTGGAGGTGCTGATTCTGGCCGGCCACGACGCGACAGTGGCTGTTTTCGGGTCACCGATGACGGTCCGTAAAGAAGGATCTAATGGCTATTTTAGGACGTAAACGATCCTTGTTAACTAACACCCTGTACCCCCTCTTGAATGGCGGCAGATCAGTGGCCACCAAAGATTCTCGAAACTTAAGAGCTCGAGAGATACCTTTAACTTCCTTCCTACAATCTCCGCCCAATCACTCACCCGCACCGCATTGCCCCATGCTCTTCCCGCATCTTTTCCGGCCCCAAAAATGGGCCACTTTCAGTCCTGAATAAGGTGACCTGCCGAGGTCAGCACGGCTGGCATGGAGCTAAGCTCTGAGGCATAGGTGGCGCTGCTGAACCGTTCGGTAGTGGTAGTGGTAGTGGTCATGGCCAGTAGGGAGGAGAATAACAACATCACACGAAATGGCACGTAATTTGAAACAATGGCTTCTAGCATTGTCATCTATAGACCGAAAGACCATCATTAGATCGAAAATCAAGAGCTTTAATCTTGGATCCCCATCACTAGATGTGACATATATGATCAAGTCCGCACCTAGTATGTCATTCCGATATGGCTATTTTGGCTTTATGTCCTCAGCGATATCGTAGCTCGTCTCGGGGCCCATTCATCGCGCGGTTAGCGAGAAGCCCCCCAACTACTGACTCGGCCAATTTTCGCTTGCCATGTGTTTCCACCAACCATGGCGTCAATAGCTGCGGCGCCCAATGCTGCAGTCGCCACTCTAGTTCCCTTACTTCCATTCCAATTGCCTGGTTTCTTCCACACCCGGATGGCTTCTACAGCTGCCGCATCAATTGCAGCAGCAACCTGCATGTTCCAGTCTTTCACTCGAATGTGACTTTCTTTCAGCGTGTCTCTTTCTGTCATACTTTCGATGGTGACCACGATCCCGGCTTAATTCGCGGTCTTCATCCAAGGAATAAGCACGTCTTTTAGACGGAGAACGCCCAGGGAGAATATCGTCTAATCGTTCAACGATTCCATGACCCAGGGACCTGGATCTTGGTCGTCGCTCGTCGTCGCTATAATAGTATTCATCATCTGAAAAATCTGGAGAAGATTCATATCACCTCCGATGGCGTCGCGTCGGAACGAGGTCGGGCATAATGAAGAATTTTCGCAGCAAAACGTTTCGAATATTACCGAAATTTGAAGATTCAGTGAAATACTTTGGTTTGGCATTTCTTAAATGGGCTGCTCCTGGCTCTAAGTTACGGCTAAATGTTTCAATGGAGCAATTAGCGACGTCACGCTGACGTACTATCGCCACATGGTCCTGTCGACCTCGGCTTGAGCCGATGACATCACGCCAATTCACCAATCTTTTCCTGATTACGGATGTTGGCTTATAATTTGGTGGGCGTATTTTCAAGCTTTCAGAAAGAGTATGGGCATCAACCAGCATGTGAAATTGTCCGCATTTCTTGGTCGTACATGCATGTTCCAATGTGTAATGGTTCGCTTGGTCTGAAATTCAGAGTCGATTGCGTGGTACGTATCTGTCCCCCCAGTGTAGCACAGCACTGAATGACTCTAGTTTGATATCATCACTCGCAAATGCATGTGGTAAATCCGCCAACCGGGCCTTACCCATTTTGTGTCAGCGTGTATGAAAGTATGTTTTATGAGCCATCACAACGGGGGGATCAAATCTGCGCCGAGGGAAGCGCGACGATTACGAACGGGAATGTGTTAGTTCCGCAAATGGTTGTGTTTTCAAAAATTTGTACTCCTGGCAAACCTAGCAAGGTGCAGGCAGAGTTTGTCGCCAAGATGTTTCCTGTGTACCAGGCAAGGCAGAAATATGCCAAGCGCGACCGCCAGGACCCCATTAGGTCCTTCATCACCAGATGCATGCATGTAGCAAGGCGACTCTCGGACTTGGTAACGCACTTTGGCTGTGGCGCACTGTTGTACCTAGGGTTTGACATGACCATTTCCAGGTAGGCCGTAGCATCCTCTACTGTTGCTCGCTTCCAGTCTAGCCTCTGTGCATAACCATACAAATCTACAGAACAACCAGAGCACCAACGCCGTCACACGTCTAACCAAGAAGACCGCGACAGAGGTTGACGGCGAGGCAAACGCAAATCTGCTCGCCCTATGACTATTGAAGTTGTATTTGCAGTTGCACTCAACCAGCCCAAGCGGCGGCACCCGGCTTCAGATGGAACGGTCAGGGTATTGCAGTATCTAACTGTGAGGAGAAATATGGCCACGGAGGTGTGGTCGAACACAGGAGCGTGTAGTGTGGCATGCGTGGCACGCGGTCTGATCTCGATGACACGATATGGTGGAAACATTAAGGGTGGAAGATCAGATAGGGAAATTGCCATCGGGATGATGGGCGTCGAATGAAAAAAGTCAACATGGATGGAAGGCAGGATAGGGGTGAATGGAGGGCACAGTCGCCTGTATGTTCTCTTGATCATAGATATTTGCTGGAGTTTCCTTAATATGTTAAATGAAATTTAGCTAACTAAGCAGACTTGTTACAGCTCTTGTTCCCATTTTAGGCCCTCGACCTGTGGATCATTCATTGCTGGAGATCGGCCACAGGACCCCGTTTTGGGACCAGGACCCGGTTTTCGATATTTTACCAACAACCTTGGGACTACGTAGACTGTGATTACATAATACCCTTGGTATCTAGATAAAATATTATCTGATCATGGCACTCCGATGCATATAATATCATACGTTGCACCTACGGAAATGCTTGACTCGGCTATGTATGTAGCCTCTACGGCTAGAGGACCGCTCGAAGAGTAGGCCAATGCGACCCGGACCTGGAAAGGAAGGCTAAACATGCGAAAAAGGTGCTATTCGACACTTGCCCCGGACAAAAGAAGAAGCACTGGACGGAATTCCTCTCTGACCACGGCAAAAGGCACTTGGTCTAAGTGTTGGTCATTTCCGTTATGATCTCAAATCTGAAAAAGAGTTAAGATCATCATCCTTCACACTTGCCCCCTTGGGGGTGGCCCTCCTCTACACGGCCGCCACAAGCCTGTCACTGACTCGATCTCAAGCTTTAATCTTCTCCTGACCAACCTTCGCGGCATACTCTAAACCATCGACAACCTCCTGGGCCTGCGACAAGAACGGTGAGTGGCTGGCCTTGGAGTGAAAGCTGGTAGCATTCGGCCCGAGCAAAGCTGCCATTCCCTGCTGCACCGGCAGCGGTAGAGCCTGGTCGGCGTCACAGAAGAAGAACATGCTGTCGATGTCATGCCAGGGCTCATATGTGACGGCGTCAGTGAAGACCGAGGCCGACTGGTGCTTCAGCGCGACAATAGCCTTTTTCTGAGCCTCCGGTTCCACGTCGTGATAGAACACGACCTCAGGCGTGTCGGCGTGGACGTAATTACCCTTGAGTCACGAGTCAGCGGCAAACTCTTGTTCCAATTTCAAATGTGACCTATAACAACCCCTGGGGGATGGTTTCATTAGGGGGAGAGGGATCCTTACGTCAAACTTCATCCACGGCAAAAACCGCCCACCCAGCATGTCTTTGACGCTCTTGCCCAGCGGCGTCACGAAAGCTGCCAGATAGACAAACATGATGACGCCACCACTCTGGCCCTGCTTCGCCCGCTGCTTGTAGCCCAAACCCTCGACAGCATTCGCGCCCACCAGCCCACCGTACGAATGCACGACGAGCACGATCGTCGTCCCCTCATCGGCAAGGCGCTGAAGCGCCGCCCGCACCGCCACGGCGTCATCGGCGAGGCCCTTGGTAGGCGGCTCGGCCGCGACGGAGGGGTAGCTGACGGCCTCCGTGGACCAACCGCGGACGTGGAGGGCATCGCGGACGACGTCAAAGCAATCGGGTGTATGCCAGGCGCCCGGCGCGAAGACGATAGTTGGCTTGCTGGTGGTGGCCATGGTGAGGGAGTGGCGTTGCGACGAATGTGACGAGTCTCGAGCTGAATAGTGAGTATCCTGGGGATCGACAACAAGGGAAAATATTTTCATGAATATATAAGGGGAATGATGATGGGTGGATGTAACGGCAGACGCCGTTAAAGCCCCCCAGTCATGGCCTGCGACAAATCAAAAACTGGATGATCTGTCCTGCGTCTGTAGGTCCCCGGCACCTTGTGGCGCAGAAAGCCTGCATGCCGGGCTCGAGCTACAGGGACCCGATAGGTTGGGACCGCGTAGTGCCCTCTGTAGTGAAATGAACTAGGTCGTTAGTGCGTTTGGCACCAGAAACCACGCTCGGATGGCGCAGTTGTGGAGCAATTGGCGAATTGTAGGTGCGGGGTGGACCTGGGAAAGGGGCACAGGCTGGTCGATGGAACATGTTTCTGGGTTCTTAGACTGAATGGAAGACTTTGTATTTACATGCTCTGATCTTCCCGTCGAAACGCAAGTTAACCATGTAGCATCTTCGTCTTCGTTTCTGGACTTTTGGCTGTCATAACAGCTGCTTCTTCAATCTTCTATCCTTAAGTGAGCTGTTCGTGTCAAGATGGGCTACGGACGGCTATATCTAGCACTGGGTCAAAACGAGTTTCTGGATAGATCCACGGCGGCCGTGGGCACGGACTACTACTGGCTAGATGCAAACCGCTAGTCCAAATTAAGCAATAGCCAATACAATCTCTTTAAATTTTAGGAACTGTGGATCCCCTACCGTATCCCAGCTTTTCCACCCCGCGCCCACACAATACCCTCTTGCTGCATACCTTTTTCGCGTTCAGAACCGTCCAGAAATAGGCTATTGCGATCGCTTCCGTGCAGGCGCTCAATTGCGACGGTCAACTGGCCTACTCCCTTGCCTAGCAGTCACGTACCTGGGCGCCTGCCCGGCCTTTGTTCTGGTTCTTGCCTTTCTGACCTTTTTCAGCAGTTTCCGCAGTTACCCAAAAACCGGTTTTTGCCCCACCTTCCACGCGAAATCCACATATCGTACGGTCCCGTACGGCTCCTTCCGGCCTCCACCTCAACTTCATTCACATTTTTCGTACAATTTTCCGTACGCCTCCGCTCCCGAACAGCCCCGAACGACAATGCCTCGCGGATCTCGCTCCGGTAAGGAGGGCAGAAAGGGTGGAAAGGGCACGTCCGGAACCGCTCCAGCCCCGAACGACGCTCCGGCCCCAAACGGAGGCGGCTCGGCCTCGAACGACAGCGGACGCGCCTGTTTGGAGCTGCCCGACTTCCAGCCCTGGGTTCCCCCCAACCATCCTAGCTGGACGCCCCCAGACACTCGCGTTCACGGCCATCGGCTCCCGAACGCGGAGCTAGAGGATGACCAGCCGGACGAGACCGTTAGCGAGCATTTAACCGCCTGGGTCCTTAAGCGTACGCTCCCGTTCTTGCCCGTTTTTACCCGCTCACGCCAGTTCTAACCCGTCCGCCAGACGTCTCCAAGAATGTTTCCGCCGCCGTTCGTGCGCTCGCCCAGAACTACTTTAAGGTTTTCGCTTCCTCCCGTAGCCGTATGGCATTATGTGATAACGTACGCTTACGTTCACGTTAGATCAAGCGCATCATGCGCGTCCGTACCCGTCCGGGCGCGGACGGAACCGCTTACTACAACACTCTCAACCTAAAGCGGGGTGCCAATTGTGACGCGGCCTTCCACCATCTGTACGGCAACTTACGGTCCGGAACGGACGCGTGCGGCCCGTGCCAGAGGGGTTTGGGCCCGTTCGACAGCTGCGTTCAGATCAATGGTGCCTGCGCGAACTGTCGCTACAACTCCGCGGCTAAGCGCTGCACTCTCTACGGTACGTACGCCCCCGTTTGCCCCCGTTCTTCCCCGTTCTAGCCAGTTCGCTCCCGTTCTGACATATTTTTTTAGTTAAGGACGGAGATGCTAAGCCTAGGGGTAAGAAGCGCGGCCGTAAGCGTAAGGCCCTTGATGATGACGATGACATTCTTGACGCCATCCGTTCCGTCCCCCTTAAGTACCTCCGTACGCTCGCGGACGTCTTTAATAAGGTCGCCGACGATGTTGAGGACGAGACTGGTATGTACATCCCTATCTATCCCTGTACGGGAGCGTGCAGGCCTGTACAGCTTTGAACGGAGGGCTAACTTTTTCCAGATGAGTCTGATTCTGATTAAGTCATTTTCGTTGGCGTTCAGGACAGTATACCCCGCGACTGGCCCCGTCTGGCTTCGCATGGTCGGTTGGTATTACGTTTTTGGAAAGGGTTTTTGACATACTGTTCTTGTCTGCACACTTTTTTTCTTTTTTTTTGGGGGGGGGGTATGGACGAACAGGCCTGTTCGGGAATGTGAGCTCCTCCTGTTCATTTATAACTGTTTTGGTCTTTCGGTATTTCAGATAGTCTGGCTCCGTATGGGGGGTTTCGCTACCGTACGGCCCAGAAATGGACCTTATGCTCTTTATTTTTCCTTCCCCTACGTATTTGATTCTGTCTTAATATTTTATTATTTATTCATTGAAATATCTTCTATACGCCCCTGAACGTCCCCGAACACGCCGATCTAATGCCACGACAGAGGATCGATCTCGAGCCCTACCGAGAACAAATCCGTGGGAAATGGCAACTACGCTGGACGAACGCGGCCTTATGCGAATGGCTCCGGACGGATTTGAACGTTCCCGTTTCCGATACTACCTTGAAGCGCTTTCTTCGAATCTGGGGCTTCCAACGTGAGGGCCGTATGGAAGTGACTGATGCCCTCCAGGACTGTTTACGCTTCCACTTCTTCGAACACTACCTTACGGACGAACGGTTGCTCTAAGTGCTACAATCTGAGGGGTTTTCTATTACCCAAAAAGGCCTCGTACGGCTACGGCAAGAGATGGACCTCTGAAAGCGGCATACTCGAGAGGAAAACATTACCCTGCGAGAATAAGCCATCGGTCGTATCGCCCAAGCGGTTGATCCAACGCGCCGTTTGGCAGGTTACGGGCGTGAATACCTCCGAACGGAGCTGCGCCAGCAAGGATTCTCTACAAGCCGAGATGTCCTTTACTCTGCCTACAAAGAAGTCCACCAAAGGAGCTTCCGAGACCGGCTGGACGAGTTCAGACGGCGCCGTACGGGCTGGACCTGCCCTGGGCCTAACTTTATCTGGTCTATCGATGCGTACGATAAATTAAAGCCGTACGGCTTTAAGATCTACGCTGGGATTGACGCCTACTCGAGATATATCCCTTGGTTTTTCGTTGGCTTTAATACGCACACGTCTATCAGCGTTAGCCTCCAATACCTCTCGATCATTCGCGAACGTGGCTTTACGCCGCGGATTATACGGGCTGATCGTGGGAAGGAAACTCTGGTTGTTGCTGGCCTCTATTGGTATCACTTGAGTCACACTGGGCGCGAACGGATACAACTGCTTACGGGCGAGGCCGTACCGATCAAGTTTAAGGACTGTTTTGTATACGGTAAGAGCATCCACAACGTTAAGATCGAGAGCTGGTGGAATCGTCTTTGTAAAGGCCGTTCGCAGTTCTGGCGGGTAAGATACTATTATACGCCCCCGAGTACCCCTAAACGCCTCCGTACTGACATGTTTAGACGGTCTTTGGAACTCTACATACAGTAGGGCTTTTCGAACCCAGTTATATCTACGATCAGATTGCCCTTCTCTATATATATATGGAACCCTTAGATACGGACCTGCGCGGCTTCGTATGGGTATGGAATAACTATTACATCCGTAAACAGCCTAACCGACCTTATGTTGTCCCTGGGGTCCCGTACGTCCTCTTTCACCACCCCGAACAGTCCAGTACGGAGGATTACGGGGAGCCAATCATTCCAGCCGTACTAGAGGAGATGGAGGAGCTTCTTGGTCATAGATCATTCGATCTATCGTTGTATCTCTCTGCTGAGGTATTGGCGCTCTGTAAGTCCGTACTCAGCCGTTCGGTTAGGGATGGGAGCGAATAGCGCCGTGTAAATGGTGTTGATATTCCTCTTTATCGCTCGTATATTTACTTACGTGAACAACTTGAGGATCACTATAAATCCGGAGTCGACCCACGATTACACCTCCAGGAGCCGCCAACTGGAGGTATTCGACATCTAGAGGACGAGCTGAGGACACGAGGATTTGATCTAGACGGGTATGTTCGTGGGGGAACGGACGATTCCGATAACGAATGGGATGTAAATTCGGAGATAGGGTCAGCTCGAAACTAGCTAGCAAGTGAGGTCTGTAGTCTCCAGAAAGGCCTGTTCAGAACCTTTCGCGTGCGAACGTGTACCCTTGAATACTTCGAAGGGGTCGGACTGCAAAGGGTTATCCCTAAAGGGATCTTCGTAATTGTCGTCTATACTATATCCTTCAGATGTCCGCCGAACAGGCTTATCCATCCCGTCCTTGACCTTTACCCCCCGGATGGGGCCGTTTATCTCCGCTTTGACTGAATCCTGTTGAGTTGACCCGCTGGCCTCGGCCTTAACCGGTATAGCTACCTTCTTGTTGACCTTCTGTACTGGCCCATCCGCTTCCGTTTTGATTCGTTTGGCTGTTGAAGTAGACCGTTTCTCGACCTTGACTGTAATACTAGCCAGTGACTCGGACGTATTGCGCTTACGTCCTTGTGGCTGGGCCAGTACGGTCCTTTTCCCCTTCGTACTGACCCTTTCATCTCGTTCTGGTTGTTCGGCTGAGATGCCAGTACGTAGGTGTAGGCGGATTTCCGACCGAGGTAGAAGTCCTATCTGCAACAGGAATGCCTATAGCTGAGTGGACTCGTACGCTGCCTCATAGAACCGAACGTTCAAGTTCAGGCTTAGTGGCTTCCCATCGATAGGAATAGCTGTCCACTCCCGTTCAGCTAGTTTCGCCCACTCCCCCGAGTTCGAGAAGAACCGTTTGATGATGGCGGACATTAACTGCTGGTGTGTATCCGTTTCCAGGGCCGTACTGAACTGTACGGCCATCGGAAACCTATGTACGGCCATGATGTCGAACCACTCAAGAGTCTCGATACCACCAGACTCGGCCGTACAGTAATTCCCAGCGTACAAGTACAACGAAATCCCGATCTTACGGGGCTGCATAAGCTCCGTACTACTCCGTTCGGCCTTACTCTTGTCGTTCTGAATGCTAGTCTGGCGGGCTTTATCAGCTTCTCGAAGAGCAGAAGAGAAAGCGGTTGCGCCGGCTCGATGAGTAGACACCGCGGGCGACTCGGCGTTTGAGGCGTACAGTGCCGGTTAGGGGCGTTCGGTCGCTTTAAAGGCCTTTCGGGTTCGGTCGGGTAGGTTCTGGAAGTCCACCTCTTCAAGGTCATCGTCAGAGGAAGCGTTGGAGGGCTTGTCGGCTAGGAGGGTGCCACAATACGGACAGGAGACCCAAGAGGGGTTATCCCGTAAGATCGTGGCATGTTGAGTACGGGCCCGGCCGGGGCAGTACAGAAGAGTTGGGGCCATAACGAATTATGATAGATCTAGGACATTGCGTTAAATGAAGAGGGATAAATGTGCGAGCGGCCCCTCTGGGGGCGAACGGCCACGTAAATGCTCGTCCGCGCCCGGACGGGCCGCTCGTACACATTTTCAAATACCTATAGGTATTTAGTAGGGTGTACATGGATATTGATTAATCCATATACTCAGGGGGGGTCGGCGGCAAGGGTGGTGTGGGGTGGGGTCCCTGTATTGACGAAAATGGATGGAAAATGCGTTTTGACCCAGTGCTAGATATAGCCTTCCGTAATGGGCGTCGCGAAGGTTCTCCAGACTCGCGAGAGCCTCTACGACAACAGAGCCGGGGAACTGAATGGCACTACAACGGCATTGCTCGTCCTTGCCACCGCCTTTGTCGGCCTGCGTTTCTGGGCTCGTTATCTCAACCGGGCAAGCTATGGTTCTGACGACTGGATGATGGTTGCGGCGCTGGTATGTGTTCACTGTTGACGGCTCGGAGTTTCTTCCCCGACTGAACGCCCGAGCGGCAGCTGACGCGTAGAACAACGAGTAGATAGTCGTTTTTATTTCTGGCGCAATGAACTATGCTAGTAAGTTAGATCCCGGGACCATGGAATCGGTGCCGACGTCATACTGACCACGACTGCTGCAGTGATCGCTCATGGGCTCGGCCGACACGCCGACACATTGCCGATAGACGAGCTCGTTACCTTCTTCAAGCTCCTCCTCGCATTCGAGTGCATATACGTCACAGCAGTGATGCTCGTAAAACTGTCTGTGCTCCAGATGTACCTGCGCATCTTCCCATCACGCGGGTTCAAGATTGCTGCAGCAATCATAGCTGCGCTCGTCGTCGCGTGGTGGATCGCCATCGTCGCCGTCTGCATCTTCCAGTGCAACCCCATCAGCAAGGCTTGGTTGCCGTGGATTGACGGCACTTGTATTGACCTCAAGGATTCCTTTATTGGTAATGCCATCCCGAATATCGTCACGGATGTTGCAATCCTATGCATGCCTATCAGGCAGGTCTGGAAGTTGCACGTCACCCTCGCACAGAGGCTGTTTCTGTGCTTCATGTTTTTGCTCGGCAGTTTGTGAGTTCAGCCCTGCTCTTGTGGTTCCCTGTCCTCAGGTCGCTAAGATCCCTCTAGCGTATTGTTCGCTTCTATATACCGCTTTACCACCCTCATGCAATTCGACACGAGGGACACAACTTGTAAGTGGCTGTCTTCCGATGAAAACGCGCATGAACCTCGACATGTTGGTTCTAACCACCAGAAGGGACGCTTGCCACGGCGTGCACGTGGTGTGTGGTTGAGGTAGCTTGCGGAGTTATCAGTGGGTGCCTGCCAACGCTGCGGCCGCTCATGGGTAAAATCTCGAGCCAGTTCGGTAGCATGACGAACAGCAAGACGGGGCAAGGTAGCGGCAACAGCAGAGCTTGGCGGCCGACCGAGCTGATCACCATCGGCGGAACTGGAGGTAGCAAATTGGGAGACAGATACTTCCAACGACTGGGAAACGAAGAGGACAAATACCGCACCCACAGGGCTATCACGAGGTCGGAGTCCGTATCCAAACAGATCGGCCATAGTCGTGATCCGGGTTCGGGAGATGAACTCCCCCTGAACGGTAGAATCAAGGATAACAACAACGTGGACATGGAGATCTAATGGCAGGGTCAGACATCGAACGAATGGGAATTGAATCGATAGATTCATTCGATGCCAAGTCTTACGAATGTCGAATCGAATTTCTTGGCGTTCGATTCGATATCGAATATACAGCGAGCCTATTCAATTCGATGCGAATCGAATGTGGCGAATCCCGTTCGACACGAATCGAACAGGGCTACGCGATGTACGGAAACATGGCAGGGGGGAGGTTTAGCGTGATTGATTGGCGCGTTAAGAGGCCACTGGCGCGATCCTCCGACGCGACGAGCGCAATTCGTTCATCGCCGGCCATGGTCCGGTGCTAGTGTTAAGCAGCGCTGCTATCAATTCAATTTTCAATCGAGATTTTCATCGATTGAATTGAGGGCATCACGAATTGAATTGTAGGGGTCTTTTTTTAATTGAATTGGTAAAATTGATATTGATTGAATCACGTGTATTCTCACATGTCAGCCCTCCAGTATTTTAAACACTCAATGGCTTCTAAAGTCTCGTCAACTATACTCAACCGTTGCGGCCCCATTGTAAGCTTGGCTTGGCTAAATACACGCTCGCATTCTGCTGACATTGAAGGTATTGAGAGGATATCTATTACCATTCGAGTTAGCACAGGGAAAGCTTGTTCTTGCCGTTGCCAAAAGGTTGTCAAACTTTTCAGGGGCCTTGCCAAACCACGCCTTTAACTCCTGTACAGCCGGCCCATCCCCTTCGGCGGTATTCTTATAGAAATCCGTGGGAAGGAGGTCGGGCAGGCAACCCTCCGACTTGTTAGGCTCCTCAGGGGTCTTGGGGCGTAAGACCGGTTCTGTGACAGCCCAACCGTCAAAGAAGAACCGTTGGAACCGTTCAAGGATGAGATTTGCCTTGTACGGCTCCACACGACTAACCCAACGAGCTGACAAGGACGGGTGAAGGATAACAGCAGCCCAATAGACCGGGGTTTGGCCTAGCAGCTCCTTGTATCGCTCCAGCTGATTCAGGGCTAGCTGGCAGCAAAGGCGAAGGTATTCCCTTGTATCGTTGCGTGACCTAGCTGATAAGGCGGCTTGACTGTGACTGTGTGCCCGTTGTGACGAATACTCAACCTCATAGTCATCCAAATGGCCCGGCAGCTTGCTAACACGATGAGGTCGTCGAGTTTCATCTGCGGTAGCGGAGTCAGGGGACCGGCGATCGCGTTGATCCTTGAACCAGGAAGTCAGCCGAAGAAGACTCTGCATCACCCACCCAATATCGCCCAGGCGGCGGGATTGGAACAGCATAGTCTCTTCTTGAAAGGGAAGAAGAAGATCGTAGAACTCTGACAATACCTCCCAGTCTTTCTCTGTCAGTCTCTTCTCTATTGACAGCCTCCGGTCTTCCCTCTCCATCGAGTTGATCCCAATCCATGACTGCAATGGCTCCTTAAGACGAAAGGCCCGCTCAACCATATAGGAAGTTGAATTCCATCGTGTGTCATTGTTATTGCAAAGCTGCATGTTGTTGTGGGCTTTGAACAAGGGGTTATCGTCAGCTGAAGAGTCGGCACTGACGTTGGTAGCTGTGTGTTGAACCTGAAAGGAAAATGCTTCCCGGCGTTGAGGGGACCGGCGGATGAACGTTACCACATCTGACAGCTTGGCTACAGGCCCGTTCTTTAGCCAGCTAGCTAAACGCGCCTTTTCCTCAGTACCGAGCCGTATGACAGCCTCCTCATCAGACACGGTCAGTCGAGCCTGTTCTGTGGGTTCAAGGAAGGCTTTAGCGGCGAGGTTGATGATGTGACCCCAACAACGGAATCGGACTGTTGTGACGTCTGTGAAGACCGGTGGACTTGGAAAAAGATGAAGTTGATCGGAAAAGAGATAATCTAGGCATGTGTCGTTAACTGTAGCATTATCTAAGGTGAAAAAACCGATCCTCTCGATGTCAAAGGTATTGATGACCTCCATCACCAAAGGAGCGATATTAGCACCTGAATGAGGGCCAACGATGTGCTTTAACGCAAGCAGCCTGTATCTTTGGAAGCCGGCAGAGTCAATGAAGTAACTGACGATCCCTAGGAGGGCCCGCTGGCTAGGTGAGGTCCACACATCGAAGCTAAGGTGGATAGCTGACTTGGCAGCCCGAAGCTGGCGTTGGATAAGCTTCTGACTTGCCTTGAAGTCATCCATGACCCAAAGCTTCACAGTCGAATGATGAGTCGGCAAGATAGCATTGATGATATGATTTGGGGTCCGTAGGAGGCGTTGGAAGGTGTCATGCTGGACGGCACTCAAAGGGATGTTCGACTCGACGATCCAGTGGATAAAAGCGGCGCTTGGACCGCCTGTCACCCAGCGTTTTCAGTGGAGCAACAGTAACAGTTGGTGAGCCTATATAGACGTGAAAACGCGCCAAAATCTAGACCCCCACTTCAATTTCCCAATTAGGATCACCTCAATGACCGCTGACCCGTGCGCACAGCATTATCTCGCACTAATAGTGAGACTGTTAGTCTGCGACTCCAGTACTGAACTACTGGTCCGTCTGATCGAGTCACACTGAACTACCAGTGTAGTGTGAGAGTCCTGCACTGAACCATCAGTGTAGAGCGAGAGACGTAAACTGAACTAAAGTGGGGTTCCACAAGTCTTGCAACGCTACGCGACATTCTCGCGCCCGGCGTCAAAAATCAGAACCGCGATTTTTACTCCTTCATCTTCAATCTTCCACAAAATTTTATTATGTCGACCAATTTGCGGTCTTTTGGGACCATTATATCCGCAAATCGTCAAGGAAAGCAACGCACCAAACCAGAACTTCGTGCGGCTATTATTGCGGCCGTACAAGCTGGAGAGGCAAGGAGCACCGTTGCGACGCGTTTTGGGGTGTCAACGGCCACAATCAGCCGTCTGCTTCAACGGCTTGAGACAACCGCATCTATCGATCCGAAGCCCCAGTCCGGGCGCCCTCCAAGTCTGACGCCACGGGCAAAAAGGGCTATTATTCATGCTGTGCGACAGGATGAACGTGTCTCAAGGAAGGACCTGCTGGATGACCTGAGTCTTGAGGTGAGCGCCACGACTGTCCGCCGGGCTTTAAATGAGGCCAGCTTGCGCAAATGGAAGGCTAGAAAGAGGATCTTTTTACGAAAGGAAGATGCAGCTCAGCGGCTTCAATTTTCACGCAACTGGGCGAAGAGAGAAGAAGAATTGAGCGAGGTATGGCTGAGTGTTTGAGATGCCCTTGTCTGCTACTCTACGCCTAACTCACACTCCCTAGATTATCTACTCTGATGAGTGCTCTGCTCAAAATGGCAGCGCCGCGCCGAATATCTGGGTCTGGAGATTCACCCACGAGGCCTATGACCCAAAATTCGTCAATACTAAGTCTCACGGCAAAGGTGACGTGACGATAATGGTGTGGGGTGCGATTTGCAAGGAGGGCCGGAGCAAGCTGGTTATTATGACTCGGGATTCAGCCTCCAAGCGCGGTGGCTATACATCAAATAGCTATATTGAAGCTCTGACTTCTGGGCTTCTTCCTGATTATACGGGAGCTCGGCATTTCCAGCAGGATAATGCTAGAATTCACATATCAAAGGCGTCAATGGCATTTCTTCTAGAGCATGGAATCTCTCTTATTGACTGGCCCCCTCACAGCCCTGATTTGAACCCCATTGAGCATGTCTGGGCCAGATTAAAGAGAGATCTCTATAGAAAATTCCCTTGGGTTGCGAAATTGAAGAAAAACGCAGCCGATATCGCGAAATTTAAAGCCTGCTTGGAGGCAACGTGGGATGCTATCCCACAGGACTTTATTCGGGGCCTAATAGAGTCAATGCCGCGGAGGGTCGAGGCCTGCCGCAAGGCTAGGGGTTGGTATACAAAATATTAAAGCCACGCCTCTGAGGAATCCAAAAATACAGTTACTTTTATTATAGCTAGTCTGCAGCCTGTGGAATTGGTATCTCCATTACGTGTGTTCCGGTCAGGGTGGTGGTGCAAGATCCCCTGTTGCAAGACTTGTGGAACCCCACTTTAGTAGTCCATGCACTAATAGTCTGCACTGCAGTGTGAACTAATAGTCCAGTTAATAGTGCGCACTATTAGGAGCGCTAGACCGTTCAAGCATGCCGTAAGTCTAGGTGCAAACCCTGTTTTCCACAGCTATGATTTTATCAGCTTTTTCAACGGTAACGACTGCCCCATGAATCTTGCCTTGATGTCTATGAAAATCACTGGCGGCCTTCATTACCCGGAACTTCTTTCAAGTTGAAGAGCCTTGGCGCTGAGATGAAAGGAGTGGTCTTCGAGATGAAGCAGGTCCTTTCGATCAAGGTCCAGGACGGTGTCGTGCTCGCCACTGTGTCCAACGTTGGCTTTGGCAAGGTTGATGAGGGAGTTAAGGATGGGATATTCGATCTTGAGCTTGATGGAGTAGACCATTCCCTTGATAGCGGTTTGCAAGTTGTACGGGTTGTTGTACTCGAGGACGAGGACGGCGACGTCGAGGATGATAACAAGAATATTAACCGCAACGAGATGGTATAGCATCCTGGAGGCCTGGGCACCACGGAGAGCTTCTTGCATCTGGAAGGCTTTGTAGGTATACCAAATGTATAGGCCCGAAATAATCATCTCCTGGATGAAAAGGGACACTTGGATCTTCTCGTATACCGGGTAGGCGGTGACGTAGGGACTGGGTTCTAGGGCCAGAATAGCCCGGTAGGCGACAATGATCGTAGAGATGTGGCCGATGAAAACGTTAGTAATAATCATGGCCAAGACCAGACGGAGGATCCTCTTATTATATAAGATAAGGTGTAGCCGTGAATAAAGAACGAGGGAGTGGCCAGTGACCATGGGAACCCCGCCGATCACAGCGATGGTAACCCATGCCGCAGCATTTTTGAGGACGCCAAAGTTCCACATCAGATAACTGATAGTATGGAAAAAGATGCCCCAGGTAGCAAAGAAGAAGCTCCAGAAATAAAGACCGCTTTTCCGCTTAAATGTAAAAAATATGATGACATTGAGCTCAATGGCGTTGTATAGGGCGATGAAGGATACCATCGCAAGACCGATGGGGCCATCGACCGAGGAGTCGTCCACATAGCCCATGTTGAAGGGCAGATGGAAGACGTCTTGAGAAGTGAGCGATGATGATATCGAGAAACATGAAAGACGGGCAGCTGAGAGAAATAAGAACTTTCATCTTGACACTGATGAGAACCCCTGGGAGTCAATGCGCTAGAAATGGGCTGAATGTTAATGGAAAGCATCGACAGGAGTGAAACCAATCGTAGGGCAGAGTTGTCCAAGGGTTCACCTCCATCAGCACCAGCCCCTTATGGAAACCTGCCCCGGACTGTTATTGCGTCTGTCGAACTGGTCGATTCACCTCTGTGGGGATTGGGGACGGAACACCACCACACTACAGTGGCTCGCGGTGAAGTAGGGTCACCAGTGTTACAGGCCCGCTTTGCTTAGTGCAGTGGGCCGTGAGTCACGTCATGTCCCTGCAGAACCTTCTGGACTTTGCCAAGCCCCTCGGCATATCATAGTGGAGGGATCTGACAAAGTCTGCCGTGCACCATCTCAAAGGTATCTCTGCTGCCGACTGTATAGATGAGGTTTTTCGGGTAACGGACCGCGTAGGATGATGACGATAACGAAGGAGACGAGAAGAGTAGGATAAGCAATAAAATCAACTCTACTACAGTTGATATAGTTATTGTACAGTAGGAAGAAGACGTTTCTGTCCAACATCGCCAGGGACAAGCACGTCAACACCGATGCGCTCCTGGAGGCCCTCGAGCACAGTAATATACGCGGCGCGGCCCTCGATATGACCAACCCCAAGCCCCTGCCTGTGGGTCATCCCCTGGCAAAGCGCCGAATATCTTCATCACTCACATATCAGCTGGCAGACCCCCAATTATGGCGGGATCGCGGAACCGATGATGGTCTCCGCGGTGCAACCATTGTTTGACCAAGTGTCTAGATACTTATTGAAGTCGTAAACATCGCCCCTCTGCTTAATCTTCAGTTTGCTGAAGTACTAAGCCAGTAGGTTCAGTTTGCAAGTCCGCAGCGTGGCTTATCTGTGCGCCGGAGCATTACTCGATTTTAAGTTAATCCCCACAACAATAGTGATTTTTAGTGGTATCTTGGATAGATGCTGTTGATCATGATGTTTGCCTGTTGCCCGTATTTCCCTGTTGGCCTTATGGTCGTTTCATCGGAGACTCCTCCGGCTGATCCGTGCACCCAGCACCTTGATGAAAGTGAGTGTCACAAGGATAACGCCACATTGGGACAGAGACATTCCAGCAAGCCCCTGCGCTGCAGCCACTTACTCCGTAGAGTAAGTTGCCGACTGAGACCAAGTGCGGGAGAGTTTTTGTTTGCCGCACTTACCTTAATCATGTCTGGGTATGCCGTAATGCTTGGGAAAGCCTTGTCTAGGGCAATGTAAGGGGCCGTATCAACACTTGAGGCTAACACATTCCTTCCTGCCCAAAAATACCGCAAAATAGGTGGGTAGCTCCAGCCCAAACTTCTGTCAGTTGCTGGAGAGTCAGTTCGCCTACCTCAAAAGCCAGCTGACGCCACCAAGTGTTAGCTCCACGTAGCCCGGACAATGAAGAAATGATATACGTTGACGGAGAAACATACCCATTTATGGCACGAATGAATCTGGCAGAAAGGTACACGCTTACAAAAGGGCTTCCAATCAGCGGAAGAATTCGGCGGTAGAAATGGCCTCGGCCTTTCTGCGCGGAAATTCGAGCTGCGTGTCACCTTTGGGATTCGGGTTCCCTTTGCTGCTGAAGTGTCGAGTGACATACCATCTCAGCCTTGTCACCAGACGCTAAGGTCAGGCTGGTACTATGGCATAGAGACGATGGCAACGGCTTGATCTCCACATAACGAAAGTTGATGGCCGAGGATTCTCGTCAGTGCTAGAAACACTGTCTTCTCGCCACAGTTCCTCACTAACCCAGGACCATGCCGGCGCCAAGCGTCCCAACCCTAGAATGCGGTGGAACGGACAGTAGCGCAAACTCAAACTTCACCCTGCACGGCCAGCTCCGCCGGGGGGATGTACCGGCCTTCCCCAAGCCACAAAATGGCATCAAAATGCATCATGTAAGGAGAGCGTCGATCACAGGCTAGCAGGCCCATTACCTGCTTCCCCTCACCAGGCCCTCCAGGAATGCAAACCGAACAGCGCCACCTGGCTCAAAATCAATCCGCGCCCCTTTCAAATTTTGTCCTCTGAATGTTTCATCCCCATGAAGCGATCGTGATCCACGATACTACGACTCATAGACCCACCCACAAGGTTTCGTCTCTCAAACGCTAAGAGCAGCAATTGTCACGCTTGCATGACGTCTGGATATCAACGGCCCGTGGCGTTAGGATGCCATGGCTTCCGCCGTCAACGATGCACCGGTGCCGTTGCTGCCCCAGCGGTGCACAGGCCAGGGGTGGACAGGGCCATTTCGGCTATAGGAAAGACCAACACCTCGCATAATAACAATTTGTTGGATTGTGACCCTGTATTGCGAAACCTCTGATAGATCGATATCCTGACCTTATGTTAGATTGTGGCTGTGTATTGCATCAAGGAGGTTGTTCAGGTATCAGAATACTGGGATATCTGCATCTATGACTGAAGATGACGATAAAACCCCACTCTGGAGGAATATGGAGATGGGAGTCAACGAGAAAAGAAGAACAACCAAACATATCATCAAGAATTGATTTACATTTATCTGGCTATCCCGAATCTTCACTAAAGACACACCGCGTATCCAACACCTTAGTCAGAGGGGGCGTGAGATGACATAAAACCCCCCTCGAGAAAAGAGGGGGCCGGAGGCATCCTAGATCAAGACAATCAACAGATTCAGGATCCACACCCTATTGAACATTAATCCCTGAATTGAATGTGCCGTACGCTATCCAACACAATTCGTATCAGTAGCTACTCTAGTAAATAACTCACCTGTCTACCTATTATGCTAGTAGCATCTGGTGTTTGATATAATAGATGCTACCCAAGATATTGATGCTTTCGCACCGCGGAAATCTGTAAATACACCGAAACCCTAGCGCTTATTGCTCTCTCTATAGCAATGGTCGACCTATTGCTCATTCTTAATTTTCTTCTCGACGACGGGGGCTACCAGGCTAGAGATTGCACATTAGGTGCTGGATTGTATAGAGGAGGGACCCGACGAGATGTTATGCTAATTTGAAGGTACAGTCAGATCTACTAGGAATCGCATCCACTCTCGCGACACTCCAGCCTCTAACCCTAGAGCGCTAGTCCTATAATGATGTTCAGCCTGAAAGCCGCCCAGTATTCTATATTAATTACTTAGCCCGGGTTACGCCATACTTCCCTCCCTGGAGTTTACGAGAAATCCAAGTTGGCTTTAGCGTGGCGCCAAACGCTACGCCACTCCACAAACAATATCCGTGCCGAGTCCAGACCAGTCTTCGGCAAGGCCGTGCCGTGCTCTCTGAAAGCTTGCCGGAAGCTCTAGAAGCTTTCTCACCGGAGTCGTCTTCAGGTACCGAAGGCTCCCGTGCTGTTAATGGTGGACGATTTTCAGGCATGGGGAGGGAAGGCTTGAATTCCAGCCAATCTTTGCAGAGGCCGGGGATGCTTGCGGGCGCCACGACGCACTCAAGTCAGTGCTGTGTCACTAGATCCGTACGACTTTAGCTCCTGTAACTTAAGCTATTGACTGGCGGCTGATGATACACCAACACCATGGGCAAGGATGCCTATCTCGATCACTATCGTCCTTTATTTAAATTGTGATGCCTCTTCTGAATGGAACCAGAGTCTGGCTAAAGTTATGGTCATTCCAAGTTGATGTTAACCAATATTTGGTTCACAGTGATCACACTCCTCTCCCAATTTTATCCTCCAAGAGGTCACCGAAGATGACCTTGCTCTTGCTTCGCTGGCCTGGGGCTTCACGATTGGCTTTGGATGGCTCACCACCTGGACAGCCATGAAGCAAACAAAACATATTTATAAGAGACGCGGCCTTCTTGTATTCTGCAGTGCCTATATCTGGATGATTTGGCTCGAGATTCTTATATGCCTTATCTTTAGCATTATCTGTTGGTTGCACTTGAAAGGCATAATTCCCCCGAGGTAAGTGTTGATCCCCTGTGTTTTTAATGATCCTTCCTCGCACAGCCCACGTTTCCTATCGGTACAACAGGTCGAGCATATCTGGAGAGTCAGGGTACCGCTGGAAATGCTGACCGCGCTGGTAATCGAACATAGCGATATAGCAATCGACACCTGCTGGTAAGGGAAGTTGAAAGTGCGAGGAGGGATATCTTGGTGATGTAACGTTTGAAGAAGATACTGAACATTAAATCTTCTAGTTTCGCATTCTACTTTTACATTCATAAGCAGTCTAAAAGCACCCTAAGTCGCCAAGAATAAGATAATAACCTCTATAGTTACTATATAGGCACTTCAAGTAAGTATACTCCACTTACCCTTCTAAAGTTTATTAATAATTCTAACCATTTTAGGTCCAATTTCTCCTCCAAATTATTATTAATCGTTACGCTATTCTTCTTACAGATCCGATAACAGCATACCGTCTTCAGGTCGGTGCTGCGGTCTTAATTACAGCCGTTAATATCTCGGTCTATAATATTTAGATCCCCGCCCATCTCCAGATCTCAGAGAGATATATCTGGATTAACAAGTAGTGGGACTGTGTCGAGAAGGCGATCTACCTTCTTGTCGACGGAGCACTTAATTTCTATTTTATTCGCGTTATTCAACAGAACCTGGTAGCAAATAGTCTAACCAAATATAAGAGTCTGGTCAAGTTCAATATATGTATCGTCGGATTCTCCCTCAGTATGGATATGCTTATTATCTCTATAATGAGCTTGCATAACACGTTTGTGTAAGTCAACCCTATTATATTACCCTGCATTGCATGGACCAATAAACTTTCGGGGCGAGGAAAAGGAGACTAGATAATAGGAGATACTTCTAACTATAAATCCAGTTACATGCAGTTTCATCCCTTCGCCTATATAGTCAAGCTTAAGATCGAGATGTCAATGGCAGACTTGATAGAGAAAATTGCCAGATAACGATAATACGGTATCATACAGGTTATGCCGCCACCTCTCCAGAGAAGAGGTGGGGGCCTCAGCTAGAGGCTTATTTAACCCACTAGGTATATTCCGCTTGCTTCTTATGTATGTTATGTACAATTACACCACTACGACCTTGAGATCTCTTGGATGGCACTATCATAAAGCTGATCGGTGCTATTATTATCCCCGTGACCCATTACACTGCTTTCCACATCTATCCTCGTGGCGACCCTAATCTCGTCCTGTTCCCGCGATGGATATGATGATGCCTTTGATGTTGTGATGGTAACCGATGTGCTGGGCTTTATGTCTTCCATGTGGATTGCTTCCGGCCTGATCGTAGTAGAGCGCGTTTTCCTGTCCCCCGTTTGCGACTGACTACCAGAGAGCTCCACAAACACAGCTGTGTTATGGTTCGATTGTCCACCAGAACCAGTGCAACCAGTACCGCCTCGATGCTGTACAAACTCGATGAGCTCGCCCAATACCGCGAATTCGAGCTTGAGCTTGATGGAGTAGGTGACGACTTTGACTCCTTGCTCCCAGACGTATAAGCTCTTGTATTCAATGGCGAGAAGTGCGATGTCCATAACGACGATGAGGACGTTGATAGCGAAAAGCTGCCACATGAATCGTCGTTTGCTGCCGAAAGCCGTCTTGAGGATATCCCACGTCTTCCAGATATAGAGACTGGAGAGAGTGAACTCCTGGAGACAGAAACAGGTCATTTGAACCTTTTCCAGGATGTTAAAGACAGAGTTGAACCCAGCTCGATTTTGCGCGGGGCTATAACTGGACCCGAATAAAAGCACTGTAATTGAGGTATGCCAAATGACACCATTCACGATGATCATCCACAGGACGTTGCGGAGAATCTTAGGGTCGTTGAGAACTAGGTGTAGTCGTGAATAGAGAACCACAGATTGGCCTGACACTAAAAGAATCCAACCAATTGAATCAATAATCATACCAACCCAGTCATGGGTAAGTTCAAAATGAACAATGAGCCAACCGACGCAGTATGGAATGACGCCAAAAGATGCGAGGAAAATACTCCAAAAGTAGAGGCCCCTGTATCGCTTAAAGGTCATAAATATGAGGGCGAGGAGTTCGAAGGTATTATATAAGGCTAGTGTCGAGCAAACCTGCAGCAGATGGGTTAGGAAATCAGCCATAATTCAGAACTAGGGTGCCCATACAATAACCATCACATCTTTAGGGTTATAAGTGCTTTGAGCCCTTATGGCAAAGCTTCCCTGGGAGGTGCTCGACATACCCATGCTCTCGGCCACTTTTACCAGATTGTAATAGGAAAGGAGCAGTATGAGGCCTCAAGGTGGGGACGTCGGATAGTAGAACTGGTGACTTTTATGGTGGGTCGGACACCTTATAGGCTGCTTGTTACCCATTTAAACGGGGGTTCCTGATCTATTATTTAAAAATTAATTAGTCGGTCCACCTGGGCCACGGAGCTATCCGTGGCTCGAGTGCGGGGCCTGGGGAATGCGGAGGAGGTGGCGTTGTTGCAAAAGGCGATGCTTGAGTTATTTTCACCCAGCCAAGCAGAAACGCCATCATCAGAAGCAAAAACAAAGAAAAGCGGTATTTTCAACTCGTAGGCTAGGCAGCTCAGGACTTACTTCATAAATCTTGTCTTGGAATCGACTAGCCTCGCTGGAACTTTCCGTTGATGGGGTCATCCTGTGGCTTGGATGCATGTGTCTTCATCCCCAAATATGATGTGTGACTCTTGATTCAGCGGAGACGAACCGGGGTGGACCCGGAGCCCGGGTGGCGTACGGCTAACAAACCTACAAATGTAGCAGCAAACGAGAAGACAGAGAGATGCTTCCAGCGCAAGTCGAGAACAGGGTATGTGACTCAAAACTGCCATGGAGGTGTGTTGGTGACCACATTACTTGGGGTTAACACCAAGGTTGCAAGTTTTCCAAAGCTGTGGTATGAAAGAGGTGTGTCATCCTTTAATTACTCCAGTCTCCTGCATTTAGTCAGGCACAGCTGATAGACGGGTTCATCACTTGGGATTGTCACGGCCCTAGCCCCGCCTCAGTACGAAGGGGACACATCTTCTGTACACTCTATCAACAGTCTAGAAGAATCTGCATTATTCCGGCTGCCCGAACCCCTAAAGGAGGGCGTGTTCTCTCTATAAGATAGTGTCTTATAATCTATATATACTTGTTAGATATTGGGGTAAAAAATTATGTCCTCTTGTTCTTTCTTTCTTGGGCTTAGGGCAAGCCTCATATTCCCTTTCTGTGCCATGTAGAATCAACTAGAAGCTGCTTGCTAAGCCTGTGGCAATAGGTGGCAACTGTAATCTTTAATAGCGATATTCCTGTCAGCCTTTCCAGCTCCTTCGAGGGGCTTCCTTGCCACTATTCAACAATTATTGTCACGGGCTGAGGCCCGGTATGGGGGCACGGGCTACGCCGTGCCGGTCCCGACCTAGCTAGACAAGATTGACCTCCCCCCCCGCGGGTAATTCGCTCTCCCACGACACTCGTCATTGGCATTGGAAATCACTGTTATGGAAGGAGACTATCATCGCGATCAGTACCCGGAAACTTATCATTCCGGGTGAGGAACTCGCAGCGGATGAATCCAACCTCAGTCATCCGACATCCAGTTATAAGCTTGGAGGGTTGATCTGGGTCTGGCGAGGCCATGCGTCTGGCGAATCCTGTAGCAATGTTATGGAAGCTCTGGCTTAGTGACCGGTGAGCCTTAGACGTGTCACATGTCGGTTCGTCTGAGCCATCGACCTTGGAGCCGTGCGGGGTAGCCGACACTGAATCGACATATGACACCTCGCTTAAAGGCATAGAGTGAGCAGGACGACCGGGATATGCCGTGTGTCAGGTACGGATAAGGCGTCCATTGCGAACATGGTTCTGCTGTCGCATCTGCCATTTGAGGTCAACAGCAGAGGGACTCCGAGCGTGGCGGGCCGCCCTTGGAGATGACTGGTTCAGAGCACGAGTCGGAAATCAAGTGGAGCAACTGTGTCAGCCATTTGGGGGGGGGGGGGGTTACGGTCGCACATTACCACATGGGTGACAAAACCATGTACGAAAATGACTGGAGCTATTTCGCACATAGGCTTTCGGCGTTTTTATATGGGGCTACAGTATTGATATGACAGCGCACTGTTTTCAATGTAGCAGAGCTGATGCCATACCAAGCGGTGCTGATGCCATTCCATCGGCACCGAAGCTCCGATAATGCCGGTTCAGAGGGGTCGGGATATTGCAGCTGGAAGCATTGGAAGGAGGTATGAACTCCGACCTCTACCACGATCTCGAACCCTGGTCTGCGTCTCGCACAATGCCGAGGCCCCGTAAGGACTTGGAGCGCGTCAAGGACTGGATCCTCGAGCAGCGGCGAGAAGGACTATCCATTGACACTATATGTGCCCATCTCCGCGACGATGGGCACGTACTCGACGTCAGAACCCTGAAAAGGAGGTTAGCGGAATGGGGTGCCCAGGAGTACTCCCCCCTTCACTCAAAGATTGATACCAACACCTTCGTCGAGCTGATCAAAGGCTACTTCTACCGATACGGATATAGCGACACTTCCATCGTCCGTGATCTCAAGCGACGCGGCATCGAGATCTCCGAGCGGACTGTACAGGAGTACCGTCTGAAGCATGGCATGAAGCGGCGCTTCCGAGATCTGGCTGAACGACAGGAGGCTATTCAAAAAGCAAGAGAGTTCCTCTTCCAAGACGACCGTCAGTCTTCAAGCATCAGAGGATTTGGCAGGGGGTATCTATACCACTACGTCCGCATCCGTGCCGGCGTCCTTGTCGGCCAGAATACCTTATATCGCGAGTACCAAACGAACCCAGAGTGGAAGAAGCGGGCCGAACAAAGACGCCTTGCTGATTGGAAGCACCGGAAGAACTTCCAGGTTCCCGGGCCTAACTTCATGTGGTCTCTCGATGGGTACGAGAAGCTCAAGATCTTCGGCTTCTCTATCTACGCCTGTATCGACACGTACTCGAGAGCCATCATCTGGATATATATCGGCAGGGGGAATACGACTGCGCTGAGTTCACTCAAACAGTTTCTACGGACTGTGTTGTACTCAGGGGTCCGCCCCCTTTTCACCCGCTCGGATCATGGTATCGAGACTCCTCTTTGGGCCGGAGCCCAGGCGATTCTCGCCGACCTTGATCAGACAGAGTTTCGGTATGCCACCGAGGATAACGACCAACGAGTCCACAGGCAGGGAGCGAGACTGAGCTCCTGTCATATCTGGGGCCCAAGCACATCGAACCAACGGATCGAGTCTTGGTGGGAAAAGCTACTCAAAGGTGTCAGTCAGCGCTGGATCGCGTTCTCACACGAGCTGATTGATAGCGGCCTCTTCCAACCAAACCGTCTTGCTCACCAGATCGCGGTGTATGCTCTCTATGGACCCATGATCCGTCAAGAGGTTGCGGACTTCACGGAGATGTGGAACGGCCATCGCATCGGGCCACAGAAGAATAGGGAGCATCTCGTCGCCGGGATCCCGATGGATCTGTATAATACAAGCGAAGTGGAGAACTGGGCAGTCCATCTAGGGCCTGCGGCTCGAGATGGGCTTGCCCAGATGATGGCCGCTGTCGATTCTATCGATATAGACGATCTTCTTGACCCAATAACAACGGACTGGTGTGATCAACAGCTCCGGGATCTTCAGTTCGATGGTCAGCTAGATGGGGAGCTTGATCATAAGCGACCACACCTTGCGATCTACTTACGGCTTAGAGATAAGATTCAGGTTCATCTCGACTGCGGGGCAAGTCCGGTGCTGAGCATCCCAGAGAGTCCAGTTGGAGGGCAAGAGAGATTCGTACGTAAAGAAGTACTCTATCGCACTCAAAAGCTAGCTGACAATGCTTTAGCTTCAGCTCCTCGAGCAGAACTACCTTGAGCCTATTAACAATAGCCTCTCCGGAACTGAGCTACCCGGCGATATTATCAATAGTATGGACGAGCTGATGGGGGACCTGGGTCACCTTGAGCTAGAGTAACTACTATTTCCTCGTCTGTTTACGAGGATGCCGACTACTTGGCCTCCTCGTATCAACTCCTCGGGTTCCAGCAGCGGGACCATGGGCAGTGAAGGCAGGGCCAGCCGAGAGCCCCTTATCCTCTGCCTCTACTGAGAGTGCTGAGCTTATAGAGTCTCGAGCTCGTTTCTGACCCGCGTGGGTCTCGTCCACATCGCTAGTAATAACCTCGATCTGGTCTTCTGCGCTAGCTCTCGAAGGAGGTAGAACTGGGCTCAGAGAGGGGCTCAAGGAGGGCGAGTTGAACTCGCTCCCGATTAACAAGGCTGGCTGTACCTTCACCTCGGCCTTGACTAGCTCTTTCTTGATTCCCTTCTCCTTTTTGAACGGCTTTACAGCTGACCTCGGTGTCTTGATATGACGAGGGGCCGGGACTTGTGGTCGAGGAGGCAATGGCTCATAGAAAACAAGGAAAAGGAGATATCTGCCCTCTGTTTTACTGAAACGAAAAGGGCAGTCCTCGCCGAAAAGCTCTGCGACTGTCTGTCTCTCCCAGTCGAGGTCGCTCAGCTCCGTGATACCCTCTTTAATATGGGCGTTCTGAACGAGTCTCTTGTCGAATTGAAGAACAGAAGAGAGGGCAGGCTTGTCCTTGAACTGAGGGAAGAAGATGCTGTCGAACCAGAAGTGGACAGGTAAAGATGGTTCCTCGTCGACGAAGGGGCGCAAAGCGACCTTCAGCAGCTCTCTAGCCAAAGACCACTGGGGCTCCTCGTCTTCGTCTAGTATTTCCCATGGGTCAGGCCTCGCAAGGAAGACGGTGAGGCGCATTGAGATCTTCCGCCTGCTCTTGTTTTGGCTCTGTTTAGCCACAGCCTCACTGAGTTGCGACGAGCTCGCCCTCATGCCCCTCGCAATCCGACTCTGGGTAAGTTTGGCATCTCGATACACGGCGGAGGGCCGCGATGTTGTGAGGATACGGCCAGGGCCGTCTCCAGAGCCGGTGAAGATTGTCTGTGACGGCGTGGAACGATCAGAGGCTGTTAGGTCGATAGACTGTATAGCGGAGGAGGTGGAAGCTGTCTCAACGTCTCGAAACGGGACTGGCGAACTGTCGAGGATGGAGATACTCGTGGGCCAACGTCTCCCGCAATATGGACACAGATTCGACCCTGGGTAGCTATCGCGGATGAAATCGTGGCTCCGTTGGTACGATTTAGGGGCCACGGTCTTCGGAACATCGGGACATGTCTGCGATAGGACGTGATCGGGCATATCTACGTACAAGACAAGGTCAGTCGCACAATCTCATGATGGATAGACCCAAGCTTACTTAGGGAATGGATGGGGATAGTCCATAACAGCTATAGGTTGGCGATGGGCTGGGTATTGATGCTGGTGTGGATGTGTGAGTGGAAGAATTGTGCCGCGTCACCAGGAATTATCACGACATATTCCCTGGTGGACATGCCATCTAAATGAAGAGATACCTTCCGGATAGTGTGCGGTACTGTAGTCTTGCAAGGGGCCACAAAATTACTAAGTATTTCCACATGGTTGAGGCTTCCCAAAAGGGTTATGTCACCCATGTGGTAATGTGCGACCGTAGGGGGTTTCCTCGTAGACAAAAGATTTACTGAGCGGAGACACGCAACCAAAGTCTATGTCCAGCCCTTCCGATCTAAAGCTTTCCAGCCCTGTTCTCAGGTCAAACACCCATCATCAGCACGGTCTGCTTAGACGTGATGAACGGGAGCTAGAATGGGACTAGGAACGGGGGCTTGTAATGCCGAGGCCCATTGCGCTTGGACTGGACCCAACAACTGACAGCTGAAGTCAAAGCGCATTGCGTGGCGAAAAGATACCGGGACCTTGATCTGTCACCTGTTGATTGCGACAGTGTCTGATCCGTCATTCCGTTTATTCGTTGACTGAAGTAGATGCCTCACATATCCAACGAGCAATGAAGGACGCCAGTCCAGCCGAGATGAGTCTGGATCCCTCCAGGCTTCTCGATCACATGGCAAAATGAGGAGGTCTCGATGTACTCTACTCAAACTCGCGGAAGCCCGTGAGACAGGCGGTCAGGGACTTTTGGGCTAGCTGGTCGCTAGCAGGGATGTAATGGGGATAAGTAGGGGAGGAAGCTGCGCACGGAAGGAAGGATCATCATTGCATCTTGACATTGAATTTTTCTTTCTTTTGAGTCAGAGAGACAGTGGTCTCGATGACCTTATTGTCAGAGTTAATGAAGACTTTTTGCCCTTGATTTTTGAGAGATTTTTACGATACTATTTTTCTGACCGCAGTCGCAATCCTCGTCCGACTTCAGTCTTCCACTTCGCCAATTGACGGGCTGCCGCGGGCCTCATCAATGCCTTGCCACCATCATTTCCTGCGGCCGACCCGATAGAGCATCCGATTAGATGCTTTCCTATTAGGAGATATAAGCCTCAGATCAATCCGACCACATACGCGTAGTCTGGTGCGGCTACGGGCCGACCAAGCAAGACGCCTGTGCGACGCTTTTCTGCGCACCCTCTTAAGGAATAGCAGATGATTTGGGCGTTGGCTATTGACCTTTTCCGCCGCTAAAATATGCATTTCTTTGGAATATAAGCTCAAGATAATGGAGTGTGAGAAGCCCATACTGACACCGGTACCCGCAATGTCGGAGACCATTCCGGGATCTGCCAATTAACATCAATTTTGGCTCATTAGGTCCCTGTTCAGGGGGTCATATCATCATCCGCACCACCGACAATGTATACAGTTCCAGAACGTCCCCAGAGACATAAATAGGTACGTAGTGTTGCCGCATACCTCTGTGCAGGTTATGCCTTCGTCGGGGCGTCTTAGCCATTGGTGAGGAGTCTGGCATACTCGGGATCATTCAGAATTGACGAAATGCGGGAGCAACGGGATCTGTCCCAGAGCAGCCATTCTGCAAGGAAAGTGCACTTTCGGAATAGCTCTGGAACGAACGGAGCAGACTTGATAAGGCAAAATCTCATTTTGGCCGTAGTGTCTAGCTGAACAAGAAGCTGAATTATAAGCAAGCAATTCAACTTGACTTCTACAGGTTTCTCTGGTCCGGACGACTCATTGGCATAAACGCGTTTAGTCAGGCGTAAAAAGTCGAGTGGTCTGTACCACGCGTAATGTGTATTGCATACAGCTATAGATATTTGCTAAGAAAACACAGAAAGAATCCAGGGATAACTGCAGGGGTCTACGTGGACATGACTTATTAGACGATGAGCAGTATTACTTCGTATTATATAGTAGCGGGGAATATGAACACCTTCTCTCTCCCTGTTGCATAGGAATTAGACAGGGCAACTGAAACTATTACACACAAGGCCCTCTTATACACTCTCCTTAGAGAACCTATCGCTGTGACCCTCCTCGCCATCGTCTACCACAACTGTAGTCTCGACCGTCTTCGTGATGCCATGTGGGCCAGGATATGTGGCCAGATGTATCTCCGAGCTAGAGCTGCCTTGACGAGTTCGCTCGTCTTTTCCTAACTTGCTCAAAATCGTGTTACCCGACTTCGGCATGGCTTGACTGCCGCTAACGACAACACGGGAAGTGACATAATTGGTTGGGTTGGATTTGTGACTGCTACTCCCGTACCAGCCGTCTCCGCGCCCAGCCGCACCACTCCTGACAACTTTAGAGATCAAGTTAGCCATTAGGAGCTCGATGTACAGCTTGACTATGTAGGCGAGAGGGGCGAATTGGACGTATCTGCGCGGGCAAAGTCAGCTGATTGTCCACATACACGTCAAGGATGGAAGAGCCATGGCAGTCAGAAACTCACAAGTAAGGGTTTGGCAAGCTCAAGAATCCAAGGAGCATAATATCCATAGACGTAGAAATAACTACCATGCCAGCGTTGAAGTTGAAGAGCCTCCAATACTTGCCCAATCCGTCGGCAATCAGGCGGAAGCGAACCAGATACAAGAAGTATAAGTTGAGCCCCAAGTCAACGACAAGGAAGAAAGACTTCTCCGCCTTTTCGAACATCAGGTTGAGATGAATCTGAAATGGTGTAGCTGATGGCAGGTGCGCGACAGTCCATATGTAGAAAACGGCTATATTGATGCACCCGATAGGAAGCGCGAGGCCCCATTTCAACTTCCTGGCTCTACGCCTGTTGGTCATGATCAAAGCTACGCGGTTGGCAATGATTTGGGGCAAGAGTTGAGTCTGAATAGCCCACAGTGCCACTATATATTCGTCAGTTCAAGAAATACTCATAGGACTCACATCCTATTTATAATTACCAGTGAATAAAAAGAACATGAGACTGGAGATGCTGGTTAGCATTGACGCTGAGTGTGACTACCGAACGACAAGAATCTACCTCCCGGGAATGATTTCATTCAGGTACAGAAATGTGACAAGGGCAAAGACAAAATTTACCCATGCCTCTACCCAGATCATATACAAGTATGCGTGATGAAGGCTCCGCGTGCGTCTCCATATGCCCCGTGTCTGCTGCACAGCCTTCGCAAAAGTGAACACAAAGACGCCCAAAAAGAGCCCGAAGTATATAGAAGCGAGATCCATATTGAGCTCTAGGGGGATCAGAGCGACAAAGGAACGACTTGGACTGAGCACGAAAGCAAGAATTAGGACTGGAAAGTGGTCGTAGAAGGTAGAACTACCTCGCCCACCTTATATATATATATAACTCGTCTTTGGTATACGGGAGTCATGGGAAGTGAGGTAGCCGGTAATTTAGAAACCGATCGACAAATTGGTCTCCATTGGTGGGTGCACGTGTACAGCTTCCCCGTGCACTGGGGGTGACATATGTCAAAAGTATTGTGCTTAAAGAAAGCCACGACTAATTCTGTAATTGGGATAGACACCGCTAGAGGAGTTGGCGTCAACTCTCGCGATCCTCAATGCAGGATCGGCCCGCGGACCAGACAATTGGCTTCCGGATGGGCAGCTAGACTCCGGATACAACAGATCGTGATCTGCGACCGGCACTTGATTTAGCAGGCTAACAAGTCACTCACACTAAACCACAAGTAGCAGGTCCCTACTCAGTACGAAGAGTTCTTGAGAGTAATGCCGAATGGTTCCCCGCATTGCAGGGATAAGCCTTTTAATAATGTCTCTGTACTCCATAAAGCAGGCTAGATTGGCACTAACCTGGCGGTAATCTTCACGAGTCAATTAGCGTTCTTATAGTACCACTCTAACCGTTTTAGCACTTCTCAACTATCTCTGATGTCGTCTCCCCAGTTGGTCAAGATCCCTAAAATGAAACGGTGCAGCAACTCCTACCGAGTAAACCGGCTCGTGATTGGTTTATCTTCAGCGTGAAATGCATCGCCCTCCACGTCATTCTCGACCCGTCTAGTAAGAGCAGCACTACGAGCAATAAATTTACCTAAACCAAAAAGGCGAGAACTCCGGCAGTAAAGACACCACAACTCCTGCAAGAGCCCTCCCTACTCCCAGGGTCCTTCTTCCAAGGGTTGGGCTGCAGCCCGACACTCTCTCGAGACTGCTAGCATTTGGTGGTTTTAGAGTGGATTTCCGAGTTACGCTTCCTAACCTCAAAGAAGAATTTCCCATGTCAGAAGTAGACCTGCTCCATTAAGGCTGATAATAAACACCTCGCCCAAGGACATGCCAGGAGGGAAAGAAATGACAGCTTGACAGGGTTGGCCTAGAGAAAACGTTGACTTGGGCACTCAGCCTGGTGACGGCAATTATGTCAACTATTTCCCCTGTTTTCTTACCAACGAGAATAATTCCACACCTTGAGGCTCAGCCATAGCCGTCTGCCTCACTGTTCGTTACATTAAACCGGGTACTTGAAAGACCACCCGTATCTACCATACAGTATGATAGCCGAAGAGATCTACGTCCCTCCTTCATAGTTAGATCAGGAATATGCATTAAAATGTAAGCGTGAGTCAGAGATCTTCGGATTGAACAGGGGACTTTCCGAATCCTGACCATTTGAAGAAGGGATCCGGAGGTGGCGCATGAGCAATTGGTGATGCTCGAGTGACGGCCAAGCAATCTAGAACACCCATCAGAACGAAAGACACGGACCAAGTTTGCCGATCTATTATTTCCCTCGAATAAAAAAACATTTAGTTAGACGTATAGCATGAATTAGACGCTCGACTAATCGCGATGGGGCAATGTTGATCCCTCCATCTCACGCGCTAATGGTTCCCCTTCCTCAGTCGCAATTGGATATCCAGGGGTTTCTGTGCCATCGCGTTTTGTGTCAAAGCTGGAATGGCACTTCCTTGATAGTTCACTAGGCCCGGGTATAGTAGCTGAACCGGCGTTTGATAGGGAACGGACTGATCAGTGTAGCACATGTTCCGTTGAGGCTGCCAGTGTTGAGGAGGCCCTGTGACATGAATTGGATGCACTCGATGTACCAATGTCAGAGCAACACCATTCATCCACGGCTGCAGAGTCGTCCAGAGACCCTTCTTTTTCCTCATGGCATTGGAGAAAATAAGAACGAGGATAACAAAAAACGCCCAGATATCGAGAAAAGAATCCAGAAGTTGGGAAACATTGAAGCCTAATGTAGCTGTAGAAGTCAAGACAAATACTACGTTAAGTATAAGTAACCAGGTCAGTGGAAGAAACCTGAGAATCGAAGCTGTTAAAAAGATGGCTGCACTCCAGTGACAACATTAAGAAAAATTCTCATGATAAACCACTCATCTCGCTACGACTTACTCCCCGACAAGGCTTGACGAAACTGGATTTATGCATGTCGCATTCTGTTACGCTAACTGATCAGACCAAAAGTGGAATGCACACTCCAACAGGAGGCGCTGATAGTTGCGTATATAAGAGATGCATATTATGTAACGAATGCATGATCGCTAGCGCATAAACTAGGGCCGTAGTTGAGGTGACCCAGTATAGTACCGCATAAGAGTCACGTATGCGATCGACAGTCCTGAGACCGGACATCAAAATGTCTATTTCTTCGGCGTCAGGCCCGTCATTTTCGTGATCCCCTCGAGCGTCCCGGATTTGTGGCCACACGGTATGTTCCTGTCCGAATTCTGCCAGTGCAACGCCGAAAAAGATGATCGCTGCAAAGGAGAGCAAGATAACGTATCACTCTTTGTGATGCCGATCTCTGCCTCTTCCGCGCAAACATGAAGCCGTTGTCGAGCTCAACGAGTGTGAGCAACAAGAGACTATCGGCGAGATGTCTCAAGAGCGTAGCAACTTCTCAGCGAGGAACTTGCCAGTGTAGTTCCAAGACGTTTCTAATTGTTTGCTCTCCACCACTTAAGGAGAAACGCCGTCGTTTAGACCTAGCGGGTTTCTTTCTGCATTGCTTGCTTGTGGCGAACGCTCTGCAGCATTACCGGAGTCACTCCTGTGCCGAGTCGTACGGCACCCGCTTTCGTCTAACAAGGAGCCCTGAACGTCCAACCGGTCTGGCAGGCTCTTGGCATCGGACTCGTTCGGTGGCAAGTTCCCAACGTGCCCGTTGTGGCCAGTGCTCTCACCCACAGGCCTCCCAAGCAGCACACGCTGATGGTCGACGATCGCGTGTTCGGGTTGGTGCAGAGAGGAGCCCAAGGTTTCAGCGTCAGGTATCGAGGTATCACCTTGCTTCGGTATGTGTCTGTCCGTAGATTGGCTACCCTGTGGTAACCACAGGCTGACCATTGGGACGACCACACCACTGGCCACATTCGAGCTAGAGCCTAGTATGGGTCTCTCTTCAGCGATTGATTTCAGCTGGTTTTGTTTGCGCCTCTCTGTCGGCATCCGAGCAACTGGTAACCGAGGGACATTCCTCGGTCCCATCATCAGTTCCACCAGTCTTGGCTTGTCTTGGAGCCTCCCCCCCTCCAGTGCCAACAGAGGAGCGTCGCGTACAAGGACGATGTTCACGTGGTCGACTCGTCATCTCTTGGCCGAGATCACAGTTGGTGCTAAGGAGCTGATAGTCATCAACACGGGACCATAGAGAAGATCAACATACCGTGAAGAAATATTTCAAAGGCGCGGTAGCAGAAATCTTCGAACAGTATATGCATCTGCCATGCGATCCATACGCCACAAGCCGATACATTTGTAATGTTTTCGGCCCTGCTTGGCGGCGTAATGAGCGCAACCTGCTGAGAAAATCTTTCATGGACTTATCGACATGTTCTATGCTCACTCCCATCTTGAGCAGCAACGCAGCATTATCCCATAAGTACAAGGTCCCTGAACATAGACAATGCCACGGCGCGATAGGCGAGATAACTAGAGACCTTGACTGGTGTTTGGGAATATCTGAGAGTTTAGCATCAGCTTGTCTTCGGCGACAGGGTGTCGCTGAATGCTCTTAAGACGCCCTGGGCGTGGTTCAGACCAAGCTCCGTTCTTTTCTGCTGCCATTGCTCTTCATCGCGGGTAATGCGATAGATGAAGTTGTGAATGGTGGCCGCGTTGGCCTCGCCGACGTCGCTGCTTTGTCCCGAGCTATCAGGTTGTTGCGGACTGGGATGACATTCAAGCGTCCACTCAATAACTGAAGGGTAGACGCTTGCGGGGAGAGAGGTGCATTCTGAAAAAGGATCGGTTCAAGATTGGCATGTTGGGGAGTTGGTCGAGGAGAGATCGAGTAACTGTTGGTGCTCTGAGAAGAAAGTAGAATAATCCATCATTTGTTCGCAACCCACTTGGAAAGCCGCACACTCGATGAGCGCAAAAAAGTTGGATCCAGTCCCTGAACGATATGCCGCTATGCCACAAAACTTGAAATGTTGACTAGCGTCCGTTCAGAGGTCTACAAGCAGCCCCGTGGTTCACAGGCTCGCGCAGCCTTATACTAGGCTCTTCCTATCTAGGAGTAGGGATTTGCATGAACCCAATGTTTATATTCTTGGACCTCTCAGCACTATAAGAGCGTGGTGGTCACGAAGGTTAGGGACTGGAATGCTTAGGCTATAGCGAAAGCTGTCCTTCAATAACGGATGAGGGTATTTAACTACTTCTGGAGACCCAGCTCCTGAATAAGGATAGCTGCCGCCTTCTCGCCCACTACAATAGCAGTGTTATTCGTGTTGGCACCTACATTCATAGGCGGGATACTCAAGTCCGCAATCTTAAGCCCCTTTGTGCCCCACACATTCAGAGACTCATCCACGACGCCAAACTCCTGGCGAGGAGCTATCTTCGCGGTGCCTAGCGAGTGCCAGGTGGTACCTATATTCTCTCGCAGCCACTTCCCAGTGGCCGCATCATCCTCAGGCGAGTACTTGAGGTCCTTTACATTGGAGAGCGGTGTATCGGCCTTGATACATACGACCTCAAACCCAGCGGGGAAAGCTAGGTGACCAGGTGCAAGCTCGCCACGATACATAGACGTGCGGCGCATGATCTCGCGCTGCTTCTTGTACGCCCAAATCTGCTTCTTCAAGTCGATGTCGTGTGCGTCCGAGAAGAAACCAACATCGAAGTCTAGGGGATCGCTGAGCTCTGGCCCGGTGATGTGCATGTGTTTACGCAAGTAGGGGTACGCCGTATAGTTTCCTATTGTGATGTACTGTGCCTCTGGGACAGATGACGGGTCGCCTAAGAAGCTGCGTCTGTTAGTACTACTGCCGAGGGGAACTTTACTAGGACTCTAGGAGTCCTCCCGGAAAGCTTACCATGACACAACACCCATAAGCATCAGAGGCCTGTCAAGGGCGTTTTTAAAGTCCCGGTTCCAGGCGGCTTAAAACTCAAGGCCAAGGGCTGCCACATCTTCTTCTGTTGGTCGAAGCTTGGACGAGATATCGGTGGAATTCCAGCCCAAGATGTCATCTTTAGCGTCGATGAGGTTTTAGCAATTGCCAGGGTTCCTAAGGACGACGTCAATCGTCTCGCGTGGTTTAAGACTTGTCCTATAAGGGTAGAGAGACAAGTTGTGGTTCTAGTAGTCACGCCCGACTCCGGGCAGATCTACAATAACAGAGACGCCAACCTTCTTCAATACCTCAGGGTCACCTAGACCAGATCTCTCAAGCACTGGTGGTGTGCTACACGCGCCACAGGACAAAGTAACCTGCTTTCTTGCTCTTACTATAAGCTTGGGTTGTTGAGGAGTTGCCAGAGTGGGTTGCAAGTCCGGGTTAGGTGTGTATTCCACACCGACAGCCCGCTTGTCGTCATCGAATAGCACACGCACGACTTTTGACTCCACCAGCACATGTAAGTTGGGGAAGTTTCCAGAGCGGAGCTTCTCGTGTAGGTACTTATGCACAGTGTCTTGTCGCTTGCCGTCCTTTAAGATATATCATTGCCAGCGCTCGATGCCGTTGTTTGCGTCAAGAGTCTGAAGGTCCTTGATCTCTGGCCAGCCGACCTGGGCCGCGGCGCTGATGAAATCGTCCTGAGAACCCCGCGCGCGGAATGTGCTGCCAGAAACATGCACGGGGCCGTCATAGCCGTGATAGGCTTTCTCGCCCTGACCATGGTAGTTCTTCAGCTGTTGGAGTGATCAATTAGCACAGGCGTGCACCTGGGAACCCAAATAGCTCGAACATACCTTCTTGAGGTACGGCCAAAGCTCATCCGCAGACCAGCCACGGGACTTCCATCAATCAAAGTCCGATCTTTGGGCTCGCGTATACATCATGAAGTTGATGGATGACCGGCCACCTTGGGTTCCGCCGGAAGGCACGATAATCTCCCGGTCTGCGAGCTATTTGGCTTTGTTACTCTTGTAGAAGATGGTTGTCTAGCTAGTAGGATGAAGGTGGCCGAGGAAGAACACCGGGTAAACAATGTTTAGCACATTATAGTTGTTCGGGCCGCCCTCGATGAGGAGGATCGACAGCTTGGGATCGGCCTCAGCCACATGCCGCCGTACCACCTAAGATCAATCAACCATGAGCAGACGACCTTAAACCAATAGAAGGCGATGAGACTTACCGCCGGCAATGATCACATCCACCTCCTGAACATCATCGGCCAATTTGGTATAGACGCCCATTGTGATTCAGCGAAAGTCAGAAGATGCTCAAGGTAATCGTGATAAGAGAAGGTCAAACAAGCCTGCAGTCTCTAACAATAGGCAGCCATTTATTCCCGCTCCGGCATTTATACCTTCCCTTTTTTTCAACCCAGGATACTCAGCAATTACCGCAGAGCCCCTCTCCAACTGCATCTTTGGGCCCCTGCCTCTCCTGTTACATATGGAGAAATCTATCCAATTCAGGGAGCTCGTCGGGTTACACTGCTTAGGTAGTGCATGAGCTGACACCGTACCCTGCCTGGAATGTTACGGGGTTTCCCGACTTTGCCTTGTTGGTGAAGGACCCTTGAGAGCAAGGTTTCATTGGACTTTTTTAGTAGAAACGGCTCTCCCGATGTCATTGAAATTGCAACAGTGTGTTGGTAATTAAGCCTCGGCTCCTCTAGACCCAGTTTTGAAATTTGTCCGCTTCAACGGTCGGATCTACAAGATCATCTCGTGTCACTTAGCCGGGCCAAGATCGGTCTAGACATGAATCCTAGTGATACCCTGACTCGCCAGCTGCGGTTTTTCGGCATTGTACGGATATACGTCTTCCTTTGCCAGTCACAATGAAGTCACGCAGCATATCTCCGTACCGACCTGTGATTCCCTCATCTCTGTATTTGGGTAATCTACCAAATTGCGGTGCTAACCTTCCAGGGTCCAGCGTCTATCTAGTCCTCCAAAAAATGCTAAGGCCAACGCGACGAAATCATACAAATTGTTCTCGGTAGGCTTGGGAATTATGCTTTAGCCGGCTTGTCGATGACTGCGAGCTGCCATCCTCGTCGTCTTCCAAGTCGTCACGATTCCGAGGTGACACAGTGACCCGCGTCTGCACAATTTTCGTGATCCCCTGGGGAAAACTCTTAGGTGCTTCATCCGCTGCCTCGGCTTCAACGTGCGTCCGATTTCCGGAGACGATGTTGTTCGAAGTTATGGCAGCTCCGGACCTGTTTTTCGGTTTCGACTGCAATTCGGTGCCGCGTGCGTACGAGCTGCCGTCGCCTGTCGCGCGGACGACCTTGACAATTAGGGAAGAGATGTTCATCTCGATATGCAGCTTGAGCATGTACACCAGCGGGTGAAACTGGACATAACTAGGTAAAGGGTGGTAAGCATCAACCGCAGAACCAAAGAGCGCCGACGACGTACATGAAGCCATTTCCAATTGACATGCTACCAATGAGAATTATCTGCGCATCATCGCGTTAGTATAGAGACCGCCGTAGCCGCATTCAGGCTTCGCTCACATCTAGACTCATCGATACCGCCACCATCATGAGGTTGAACCTGAACAACGGGACGTATTTTTCGAGGCCATTCGCGATCAACTTGACTCGAAGCAGATAGATGAAGTAGAGGTGTAGGCATGCGTCGATAATCAAGAACAGACCCTTCTCGATTCGATCGTAGATTTCGTTGACATGGACCCATGTCGGGGATATTTGCAGGCGTGCAGGAATCCAGATGACGAATACGCTGATGTTAATCAGGCCCAGAATGACTGCGGTAACCCATCGGATTTTGGCTGCGTCGCGCTTGTCGACCATCAAGAGAGCGATTCGATTAATGATGATGCCGCAGATGCATTGAATCTGTACGACCCAGAGGCACACTGAGAGCGATAGTTAGCGGATTTTCCCCTTTCGTAGGATGGACTCTGCGGACAGAATGCAAAATATATCCAAAAGCTGTACAGCCTCGTTAGCATCGAAAACACCATCAACACGCCATCTAACTCACCTTGGATCGATGAATCCGCGAAGGAAGACCCAGGACAGAACGCCAATAACCATGGACACGATCCATTCGGCCCATATCATATACGCGTAGGCGTGTAGGCGACGCGACTGTCTCCATGTTGCCCACGTCTGTTTGAACGCCTTGGTGCCTGAGAAGACTCCCGTGGCTAGGGTAAAACCCCAGATGATGCTGGCAATCAACAGGTCATTGAGGCTGGGAGTGACTACCACGTAGGTATCCGGGACGAGGAATCCCGCCATTGCCAGAATGGAAAGTCGGAAAGTCGCAGTCCTCTCTCGACGGTGGCGCTTTGGATGGAAAGGAGTGGTTCAAGAGTTGGTCTTGTTTCATGCCGATGATGGAGTTAAAGCAGATTATATCTATGCGATGGCAATGACGGATGGAATTGTGTCTGCGGCAGCTGATTTTCTGGGTCTCGCAGAAGCGATAGGAACCCTTCCCCGGCAGTGCTACCCTGGCTACATGGAACACCTTGGTGACGATCTCACTTTCCACGGATGATGTCGAACAGTGGAGTATATTCTAGCTTGTTGATCCTGTTTTGCAACCAGCCCCACAAACTGTCACCATAATGTCTCCATTTGTGGCAGCTTCCAAGCCCAAATGCAGTAGCGCCTTCCGAGGCTTACAGGGGCAGTTCGCCCGAGAACCCCTGAAGAGCTGCATCTATCAACACTGTCTCCCCTAAGCCTCAGGCACGGCTCACGGAGCGCGGAGTTGAAAAGTTGGTGGCTAACCGTCCATTCCCACCTCTTTGCGCCAGGCCTCGAGAGTGTTCACCCATGACACACGCAGTGTTGAAGTAGCCTGTTTCGCTAGTGTGTAGATCAAACCGCAGTGTCTGAAAACTTCTATTTGCAGACCTAGAGTAGTGCCTATCCACAGTCAATCGCCGACCGAGGGCTGTCTGCATAACAGCCGTCTCGAAGCGACATTTTGCAATATGTCAGTAAGAACCAGAACATTGTGCTACCGCAGTGTTTGAGTCAGCTAACCTAAACGCTTGTTAAGGCCGGGAAGGACCTGGTAGTGGATTCCTGCTTCTCCCCTGAGCAAGTTGTTGGGAGAAACCTAAGAAGACCTAGTACTGACGCAAACTAGATATTATAGCTAACGGTCAATGCAACCGCAAGTCTGGGTCCTTAGCACCGAAAAATTCTATCGTTTCACGCTGCCATCCCGCCGGATTTGTGGCGTCAGCGTCAGCGTCGTTCTGATCGGCGTAAGACATCTAGAGGTATAGCTCTTCAACACGGTCGAGATGGCAGTGGGAATGGATGAGCGGCGCGCTGATAAACAAGGGGAGGGGACGCACGACGGCAACGGCTTGATCTCCATATAGCGAAACCCGAGGATTCTCGTCGGTGCTAGAAACACTGTCCTCTCGCCACAGTTCGTCACTAACCCAGGACCATGCCGCCACCCAGCGGCACAACTGCAGAATGCGGTGGAACGGACAGTCAAACTTCACCCTGCGCGGGAAGCTCCGCCGGGGCAATGTACCGGCCTTCCACAAGCCACAAAATGGCATCCAAAATGCATCATGTAAGGAAAGCGTCGATCACATTGTAGCAGCCCCAGTACCTGCTTCCCCGCACCGGGCCCTCCGGGAATGCGAAGGGAACAGCGCCACCTGTCTCAAATCAATCTGCGCCCCTTTCAACTTTTCTTTTGTCCTCTGAATGGCTTTATTCCTATGAAGCGACCGTGACCCACGATATGACGACTCATGGACCCACTCACAAGCTTTTCGTCTCTGAAGCGCTAAGAGTAGCAGATGTCACGCTTGCATGTCTCGATATCAGCGGCCCGTGGCGTTGGGATTGGTATCTGCCACTTTCACATGGCTTCCGCCGTTGACGACGCACTGGTGCCGTTTCTGCCCTAGCGGTGCACGGGCTAGGAGTGGACAGGTCGGGAGTGGACAGGGTCACTTCACCCAGAGGAAAGACGAACACCTCGCGTGAACCAATTTGTGTCAGCTATTCTAGCAAATGACCCGCGCAACGCCTGTCTACATGTTGTACCAGTGGCATCTCGTGTTTGACGTAATAGATGCTGCCCAAGACGTTGATTCTTTCGCGCCGGAAATCTGGAAATACATCGAAACCCTGGCGCTCATCGCTCTCTCCATAGCGATGGTCGGCGTTGTGCTGATTCTTAATTTTCTTCTCGACGACGGGGGCTACCAGGCTTGCTATCAGGCTGGAAATTGCACATTAAAGTGCTGAATTGTACAGAGGATGGACCCGACGAGATGTTATGCTAACTTGAAGGTATAGTCAGATGTGATTAAGATGGCAGGGTTAGTTCTAGCTTTCCTTAATAGCTATGTCTTTTCGCCTTTAGCAAAGTTTACTGCCGCATTCCCTTCTCCTGGAGTTGCTTAGTCAACTTCTCCTCCTCCTCGAGTAAGTGGTTATCCTGCCCAACTGGGCCCACAGTAGGGTACAGTACCTCTAAGGGCACTTCACGAACATTAACAGACGAGTTGTCCTTGCTTCCGATAAGCAATGTCTCAATAATATTACCATCGCCATATTGCGGCTCCTTTAGGACACTCATCATAACCGAGGCGCACTGCTCAGGCGTGAGAGTCAGGTCATCAGGGTGCACCCTATCGCGGCAGTATTCCGGGTGGAAGATTGGTGTCTAGAAGTAGGAAGTGACGCCTCATTAGCAAATACTCTAACAAATTCCATTAGATACCAAGTGACTCGGGACTCGCGATGTAACCAAGGAAGAAAGCAGTTTAGGAAGGAATCAAGGGAGGATAAACGCACGTAAACAGCACCAGGGCAAACAGCCGCATTCCTAATACCCAGCCGCTTTCGTAGCTGGCCTAGAGATCGAACAAAGCTCACAATAGCTGCTTTGCTAGAAAAGTATAGGGGCGTTTGGAGCGAATGAACATAGCCTCCAAGGCTGGCGATCCAGAGCACGTTGCCCTCAATATTCCGGTTCTCCAGCCAGTAATCAATGGCAATCTGAGCGAGGCGGATAGGTCCCATAGTATTTACTGAGAATGTATGATAGACGCCCGGTGAGGCGTCTGCCTCATCTTCAGCTAGAGACGAGATGCCAGGCGCGTTCCAGAACGTGCTAGATGGTGGCTCGTAGACGCCAGCGCCGTTGACCACAATATCAATACGTCCAAACGTTTCGAGAGTCTTCTTCCACAGAGAGGCAATCTGTCCCCAGTCACTGATATCCGTTTTGTGAAAATCGACCGAAGGTGTGGTGGCGTCTTTGGAGGCGTACTTGGTTACAAGAGCCTCGGCTTCGGGCCGAAGCTTCACGTCGGCTATCATGACCGAGCAGCCTCCCTCAAGAAGCTGCATCGCAAAGGCCAGGCAGATGCCTATATCTCAGTCAGCTCTCACGAATTCACAACCGCACATGCCCATCATACGTGGGTATTGTGAGTATTGAGAATGAAGCTCCATCTAAAGGTAAAGCCTACCGGATCCAGCACCAGTGACAATGGCATATTTGCCCTTGATATCGTAGGTGGACATGGCGTCAATGCAAGGTACGACTTTGAAGTAGTTGTCTGTATGTATGTGTGTGCCCGAATAGAGGCGAGGTTGAATGGCGGGTACCATGACTCTAATAAGTCCCTCAAACAGCGACATAGCCCCGCAGACCTGGCTCTTACCTCTCGAGTTTACGCGTAAATTGACCATGCTTCGAAGCCACTGTTGTGGGTAGCATGGGTATTCTGCAAGGCACCTTTTTGGGGGAGATATCAGCCAACGGCCTATTGGATGCCACTTACCCGAGCGGAATGTCACTCAAATGCCGATCGCTGTTTCACCGCCCGAACCCCTTTTCATGCGAGTCGTGCGAACATACTACGTAGTGTTGGTTGCAAGCGTATGTAGCGCTAAGGATTCAGCGAAGTCGGACGTGTTCCCCGGTTTACTAGCAGCTCCCCCGCAAGTACTAGGCGCGGCACTAGGCAGGTAGTTGCCGGCTTACGAACCGCTATTTGTTGGTTGCTACCCGTTAGTCCGTAGCGGTACGGAAATCTATGTCTCCATCGATTGGTTCGTGTGCCTGCCAGGGGAATATTCAGAACTGACAGGTCAAGGGATCATGACTCGAACATGGTAGGTTTCCTGACACCCTAGCAGCAACAAAGAAATCCCTTTTCTCTCACCAGTTGGCCTAGATTAGTTCCCATGGTAATCTTCACCCAGATGGGGAATGCACTAGAGAAAGTTGAGTTCCATTGTCTTGCATCATCCGTACATCTTCCCTTGGATGATTGAGCCAGCGAGCTCGTCAACAATACAAAACCCTCGCGGCCCACAGCTCCTTGCCGTCGTACCTGGTGTCTCCTGCGGTTTCCGATCCCGAATAAATAAATCACCTTGAAAACGGTCTTCACAACCAAAGCTTTCTCGCCGTTCTTGATTTGCCAGCCCATCATGGCGGATTCTACGGAATGGGAAGCTGTGAAGCCCGGAGGGCTTGCAGCAGCGATCCTCGGCGTAACGATTACTTTCTCCGTCCTATGTATCGTTGTTGTCGGCCTCCGCGTCAGCGCTAGGGTATCAATGGGAGTTTTCGGACTTGAGGACTGGCTCATGTGCGTTGGATTTGTGAGTGTTAGAGCGAACGACACCCTTATCAGAAGCAGACTGACAAGACCAGACCCTCAATATGGTCCATAATGGGATTGTTATTTGGGGAACTTTTACAGGTATCGGCACCTACGATTCAAAGCTGAATACCGCGACGATGATAGAAGGGGCTAAGGTTTGTGTGTTTTGTAGTTTTGACGCTTACTTGTTTGGCTGATCCCCTCCCCTAGTCTATTGTGTTCTGGCAAATATTCTACATCAGCGGATCGGTATTCATCAAGGCTAGCATCTGCGCGACATTGGCACGAATTGCTACGCAGCGGCGATACATCTACACTCTTTGGGGGCTTGTTGCTGTATCAGTCATAGCTACCCTGGTTGCCATTTCTGCAGTCTTGGTCCGGTGTAAGCCGGTAGCAGCGTCGTGGAATTCTGCTCTAGGAACGTGTATTGACCAATCCATCATTATTGCCTTGACATATGCTGTCTCGGTAATTAATATCGTGACGGACTGGGCTGTCGCAGTTATCCCGGTATTCATCCTCTGGAATCTCCAGATGCGGAAGACGCTCAAGAAGATGATTGCCCTGGTCCTAGGCCTTGGTGTGCTGTGGGTTCCTTCTCCAAACATCCTATTCATGTCCTCTCGTTAATCCAGTATCCCAGGGCTTCTATTGCGACCATCATTCGAATGCCATACTCCTCAGTGTATTCCCACACTACCAATCTACTACGTACGTCAGCCCCTCCTCAAACTAGATCAAGTCGATTAATATTGTCACTTTTCTATCAGATGACATCGGAAACATCATCCTATGGACTGTAGTCGAATGCGATCTTGGTATTATCGCGGGCTCGCTGCCAATGCTCCGAACGTACATCCGGAAGTTCGCCAAGGACGAGAGCTCCTATCAAGGGGGTTCAGGAGACTTGAATCTGGTGACAATTGGGAGGATCAAGGGGAAACACCACCCGATCCATGACGCTGAATTTATGGTCACCGCAGTTGGTGGAGATGATCGTGAGAGCGCCAAGGATGATGAAAGTACGAAACAGATGATCAAGGTCACGAGGAGGATAGATCAGGTTTCAAGCAAACGGTATGAGCAGGTTTAGTGCCAAGACTTATTACCATACTTGATAAACGAATGAGACGGACAAGAAAGTGAGAAACCGAACTGCTGACTTATAGCCTACGCGCCCCAGGGTTGCCCATCAATCAAGTCTCCCCGCCTGACCCTGACCCATTAGCTTCGACCCGATATCCTTGTATCTACTGGGTTGACCATCTCGGTGACTCGAATCCCACGCAGGGGATGAGACATGGCGAGGCTTCGCAGAACGGCGGTGTCGTCCACACTTTCCTCAGAAAGAAGTATCTGTATTGGTTAGAAGCTCTCGGTCTGTTGCATGGTATGTTGGAGTAAATGCTCTTCTATTACCAATGGTTGGTTGTGGACACAGCTAGGAATGCGCTAATCTGGATGTTAAACCAACTGGTGGATGTGTACCACCGATGTACCATTCGCCGCCATGATCTACCCAGTCCAGTCACAGCCAGTGTGGTTACCTTCTATACTACTAGATCAAAGTGCTGCCTTGGCATCTCGTCCCGGACTTCTCAGTAGATGCACTGAGCCTATGACATCTTTACCAGTCGAGCAGATCCAGAGTCAACGATTTAGTGAGACTTGAGTGCCAGGCAATTATCTGGTATCTGATAGTACATTCTCCACGAGCAACAGCAATTCCACGACAATATGTATGTGTCAATGCGGGGTTTTCCTTGTGGGAAAAAGCCAGTTGGGTTGGTGCCGGTCAGGCGCTCATATATGCTGGGTTTAGACAATCGCCGGCAACGCCATCATCATCCATCCATTCCATTATGTTTCCAACAGGGTCTTGGTCCAGTATGTCCAAACCATCATTGGATCCCAATAGTCCAGAGATTTAGACTATTAGTCCAGACTGCAGATCATGGAAGGGCATCGATCAATCCACGGACGCCCGTTGTGGACGCTAAGGACGTCTGCTGGCGGTTAACCGAGAATGCAACGTGTCACAAAACCAGGGTACTCATGATTGTTGTTGTGCCAACCATCCGGGGTCCGTGCTCGCGTGCATTCATTTAATTTTGTTTTGCATAATTCTCGTCAATTTACTGGTGCGATGCAGATCGCTTCACACGACTGTCGTCGGGATGCGTGATGTTGGACCCGACAATCTGACACGGCTCGGTTAAAGGGGCATACCATCCTAGTGTCAATCCACGAACGCCCGTCGTGAATGGATTATTAGTCTTAGACTGCAGTCTGGACTAATAGTCTAAATGGCCTGGACTATTGGGAGCGCTGGCACTGGTTTTTACCCTTGTGATAGCTTGACTTTATGATAACTGTATTCAAGTTGTCGACGGAAAAACCTCCGGGGCACCCAAGAAACGCGGGTTGGCATCAATCGGAACTGAGATGATGCTGAGAAGAAAATTGTATTGAGTGTCAGACTTCTGCGGCTTGAGAAGATTGTAAGCAGAGTTCTGGAACGATGATCATCACGGCTCTTGGGTTCACATTAGTTGACCACTATTCGCCCTCACGATTATAAATAAATACCACAATATACAGACACGAAATCAATACCGGAATTTGCATACCGCGGACCCATGCATCAAGCTAGCCTCATCATTATTTCCTCATCATAAAAACATTTTCTCAATCCATGCTCGATAATCAGTCGCAATCCAATCCCCAATCTTCCGTAGCACAGCAATAATCGTGTACGATCCCAGTAATGTCCTAGTATCCCCAAGGACAAGCGACCCTATGATCTCAATTCTGTCCCCGCGCCAACTCGCAAAAGACAACTTCCAATCGTGACCGATGATGTACAAGAGTGGCAGTGTGATGATGCCGTGCTGAGCAATTCGTCCAGGCACAAGCATGGTTATGCGTTGGTACCAGGCGGCGGTCCAAACGGAAAGCTGCAACTCGCCGTCTTGCTGGATGGCTGACGTCCTGGTCTCGATATTGCAGGCGATGGGAGCGAATTGCAACGCGGGATAGCCCGTCTGATTGACGGATTGGGCATCGGAAGGTTGAGACCAGACCTTTTCTGCAATGGCGGAGATGAGCTTCGCATCGGCTGAAGATGCCTTGGCATCGCTGTCGTCGAGCAGTTCTCGCGGTTTCCCATCGTTCAGCCAGAGGGTCAAGCAGAAATCGATCACCCCACCCCCGACGACGCTCCCCCCACCCCGTCCACTTGTTATAGGAGAGAATGGCGCCAAGATCTTTGCCGTGAGGGAGGGTTCGACCTGGACTGTGACATGCCCAACAAGGGCATGTTGTAAGAGTGGTTGATGGACCAGCATGTTCCATGTCACCTCAGCGCGGGTATGAACTTGGCAGTCTTGCGCTGTGTTGCCGATGTCGCTCAAGAAGTCGAGCTCATGTAAGGCGACTTCGAGAGGCGACTTCGGCTTACGAGAGCGAGGATAAGAAGTCTCCTGTTCGTTTGCTTGCTGCTGGGAAATTTGCTGTGCAGGTCGAAACCAGTCATTTTTCTTCTGCGCCCGAGGAACAATTGCTTCCACATCCTTGCGAATCTCCAAGGGGAAAACCTCAACATGATCGGTAACAATATCGTCTATACTCTTGAATAGATCCTTCACATCTTCCGGCAGAACCTTGGCAGGGTCATCCCCCATGCGTATTTGAACGACAGGCAAGTCCAATACCCAAAGACCATTAGCAGACTTGAGAGGGCTCCTTGTGCGACGACCTCTGACACTGGACCTCTCGGATCGTCCAGCAGACGGCGCTCTAGCAGATGGCGACTGATTCGAGCTCCCCGAAACTAACGAAGCCGACTGTGACGGGGTAATGCTCGGTGTGTTGAAGCCTCGGAACGGAATTGGTGGCAGATTCGGCCGCCGTTGATTGACATTTGATCGGGGTGTTTCCTCGTCCCCCTCTTCTCCCCAACCAGTCTCTCCATTATCGCCAGTATAGCCGCCATATTCACCAGGTGAATCGAGTCGTGGTCTTTTGGTCGGCGACGTGTCGCGTCTCTGATTTCGGCCCCCCGAGTTTGATAGTGGAGGTGTCGTCATTAAGCTTCGCTTTGTCGGGATGGGATGAGGTGGTGGTGATTGATCGATGATCTGAATGAACTCGAAGTTTGGAGTAACGGCGTCTAGCCAATCCTCGATGAAAATGAAAGAAGGATAATCGGTCATGGAGACAGCGCTGGGGACGGGTATCACTGCTGAAGGCCTTGAGAAACGCTGATTTCGTGGGAATTATTGATGCGCATTGAATGTTGATGTTGAGTTGGTTGGCCAGGTGATGAAGGCGTCAATGACGGATAAACCTTTTTGCGGGTCGGCAACCTCTAGGGTAGCCGACCTGAACATTGACCATTCACTGATTCTTCATCATCCTGGTTCGGCCGTAAAACTTTTCCCACGCGCTATGTGTTGTTAAAATGGCGATTGCGGGAATGGAGATACCGTGTGTCCATGGACTTACCCAGATGCTGTCTGTAAATGATTACAAGTTTCTTGTTCATCAAACACCAGCTTGTTGAACAACCACTCCTCCGCGGTGGACTTGTAGTATTGGGGAAAACGCACGAGGGATTCTTTGAACAACATCGTCTGGCGAGGCTCGTACGAGATGGAGAACAAGTCACGGGGGCACTCCTTCTGGGCGCTCATGAGCGAGAACTGAATCTCACATTGATCGTGGGGAACATTGCTGGTGATGAACATGCGGTCCATGCCCCTGGCAATGTCCAGTGTGCTTGAAACATGGTGCACAGTACGGACAGGCACCCGAGACAGGGCTACGGTAGTACGGTCGCACATTAGACAAGGTCCACAGAAGCTGCAAATGGCCGAAATCCCAAAATGCGGCTCAAAAAAAAACTCGAGCACAGAGGCATGAAGAAATTACATCCCGACCCAGGATTATAATTAAATAATTCTGTCTCAAATTGAATAAACTTCTCTTGCAGCTGCTATTCTAATCTGTTATTTCTTAAGGTGAGGGCAAATAAACAGCAGTGGGAGCGCGAAATAGAGCCAACGCGACCCAAGCACAAGCGCGAGTATACAAACCAGCACCATAGCAGTCGACTGAAAGGCACGAACACAAACGCTGGTAAGGTCAGACTTCGCCTTGTCAAACTCCTGAGGGGGGTCAGCTTGACATCGAGGCGGGGACGGGACAACATATCAACGTTTAGGGACAACCCCAGAGGTGCAGCGTACTGAACTGGATGAGTGATCTATTGAGGCTAAGCCAGGTCAAGGCCGAGGAGGGGTAGAGGGTACTGCCCAATCCGCGCAAGAATATTCCGTGGAGGCCAATAATCCCATTGACAGTGCTAAGGCAGCTTTTGTGAACTGGACAGGGATATCAGTGAATGAGAGGGAGTTGTATGATCGATTTCCGCCTATTTGCCTCCAACAAAAGTGTATTGCTGATCTGTCCCGTGTACAATGTACAAGAGCCTGAGTGAGGTCTTACCAAAATTGTAGTACTCGCAAGCTCTAACGGCAGATGTGGAGACAGAACAACAAAGCTACCGTAGGACTGTCAAAGGGATACCAATAATAGAGGCTGCCAGTTCGATGTTCTGTTGACGATCTAATAGCCTTTCACCAATCACGCGCGACCCTGCAATCTTACTGAAACGGGCTTTGCCCCCACTCGCTGTAAATTCGGCTAGCCAAGCGAACCAATCAACCTTTCGTTAATAGAACCGCGTCCTAAAAGAGCTGACGAGGTTATCTGCCGTGACCGTGTTGTGTCTGTAATGGGCAGTGATGCGCTAAACCAGGCCATGGTCCCTTGTGAGTTGGATTAACCGACCCAGTAGGTTGGCCTGGACCCCATTGATCGGCAAATTGACACAGAACACGATCCAATGATCGGCTAGAACTACGAAACCCATGACTTTGCGTGGGGTAGTCAAAGGGTGGTGGCGCAGCTGCGGTACCACTTTGTACCACCTCTTCTGGGTTAGTGGACAAGTCGTATCTCTTGTTGGGTCATGTCGATAAAGAGACATTCGGATACATCATCGTGCGAATTGTCGTGTGAACAATTTTTAACGCTATTATTTTCAGCGCGGCCCGAGTTGAGGGAGGTGTTCAGGGAGTTACAATACTACCACGGACTCAAGTGCCGCGGCGACCCCTTTCAACCTCAAGATATCTCCCGTCCCTTTCCCCGATGCCAACTGTCTTCGCCCCGCATCCGACCGTTCCTCGGGACCTCCCGAGCTGCAGAGGCCGTATAGACTGACGCCATATTCCCTCTGCTCCAGCATGGTTATCAAGCCCGAGTGTCCTCCCGCACCGGAACGCAACTCGGGCCGTCACAAACCATCAGAAGCCCCGCCCACGCGCCCAATCGAGAAGCGCCACGACACGCAGTTGAATGATGCATTTACTGGACTACGGGATAGTATCCCTTGTATGAGAGTTGTAAGGGCAAAGGAAGGGGAGGAGAGTGCAACGAAGGATCCGCAGGAAGGAACGCCTAAAACGATCGTGGATGAGGTTAGTTAGCATCCAACTTATGATATAATAATTCTTACCTAGAATATAGGAGGCCGTTATATGTATGGCGAGAGAGTACATTGCGCTCCTCGAGGAGAGAAACAGATCTCTCGTAGAAGAGCACACAGTACTGCAGTCGACAATCGCTACGTTTGAGAAGTTATTTCCACGTTACTGATCTTCCAACGCATGTTTTGCACATCGACATGGTCGGTTTTCACATGGATGTCGCAGCGGGTGATGAGGGACCTCTAGGGCCACCAGGCTATTGGGGACAGCTGAGGCAAGAGGGAGGGGAGACTATTAATATGTAATGGATACTTAGCCCTGAAGCAACCGTCGCATCTTTTTCTGCTGTCTGATGGCATCATGGTACTGCTTTGCTGCTCCTTTGGCTGTATTCTCGTGCTCCTCGCACGTCTGTCCTGCTCGCCTCGATGCTCTGGCGCGATTTCTCCAGTACGTGTATATGTGCCGTAGTTGCGTGAGGTCTAAGGTCCACCAACGCTTTGCGTAGGGCGACGGCTTAGCTTCGGGTGTTAGGGCGCGAACCGCCTCTAGCACCACTGGCATGAGCTTGTCTGTCTTCTGCTGTACGGTGCCATCTGTCGGGTGGTCTCTAATGCAGCGGCGAATCGGACGTTGATTTCCTTCCATGGTGCGTTTTTGAGTAGGAGTCGTTCCTGGGCCTTCGGCATTGGAACTGAAATGTCGAACACCGTTTCAATGGCACGATGGTCGGATATATGCTCTGTATTGTATATTGTACACTTGACAGTCGAGGTCGCTAGGTCCTCGGAAGCGAGGATCAGGTCGATCGTTGATTTGGGTTCTCCGCCTTGCCAAGTCTTCGTACCTCTCTGAAGCAGACTGCTGAGAGCAAACTCATTCATCAGATCGATGATTTGGTCTGCCTTACCCTGTCTCTCCAGCAACACATCCTCCCCTCCCCAGAGCTGATCGTGGCGGTTGAAGTCGCCCGCAATCACCACGTCCACAACTCTTCCTGCGTCTCGCCTTGTATCTACAATAACTTTACGTAGGTTGTCGCACGCCTCGCTCAGCGCTTCAACTTCAATTCCTTGTACATAGACAGAGAACACCAGTACCAAGCGTTCCGGGAGCCGTATCAGTGCTGCTGTCATGTCTGGAGACTCAATCGGCACCAAAAGCCAAGCCGTCGCCGTACGCCAAACGATGGTGGACGACAGATCTGACGCGGCTTCGTGGAATATACACGTACTGGAGGAACTGTGCTCGGTCTGCGAGACGGGCAGGATGGGCCAGGATGGAACTGGAAGAGACAGCGAAAGGGGCCTCGAAGCAGTATCATGACGCCATCAGGCAACAAAAGAAGAAGCATTAGAACGAGTTTCTAGCGGATAATGATAACATCTAAGAGGCAGCTAAGTACCTAAAGTCTGGTGATGACACGACATTCGGCAAAGTCCCGCAGCTAATCAGGGCGGACGGAACAATCACAGCCAACCACAGGGAACAAGCTGAAGAGTTGCTATCCAAGTTCTTCCCTCCCTCGCCGAACCACATCCAGGACGAAGGCCCTAGGCCTCAGAGAGCCCCTGTGACGATGCCCGACATCACGATGGAGGAGGTAGAACGACAGCTGTTCGCGGCAAAATCATGGAAGGCCCCTGGGGAGGATGGATTACCGGTGATTGTTTGGAAACAGTTGTGGCCGGTGGTCAAGCATCAGGTGATGGCCATCTTCCGGGTATCCTTAGATGAGGGAATATTACCCGACCAATGGAGGCATGCAAAGATTATACTGCTTAGAAAGCCTGGAAAAGAAGACTATACAGTGGCAAAAGCCTGGCGACCGATCTCCCTCCCGGCCACCCTCGGCAAAGTATTGGAATCAGTGGTCGCGGAAAGGATCTCGCATGCTGTGGAAACGTACGGTTTGCTGCCGACGAACCACTTTGGAGCCCGCAAGCAACGATCAGCAACGATCAGCAGAGCAAGCGCTTCTACTCCTGCAGGAGCAAATCTATACTGCCTGGCGAGGTTGACGGATCGTAAGCCTGGTCAGTTTTGATGTTAAGGGAGCCTACAATGGAGTGTGTAAGAAGAGGCTGCTTCAGAGACTGAAAGCACGTGGCATCCCGGAGAAACTACTCCAGTGGGTTGAAGCGTTTTGCTCCAATCGCACGGCAACGATACAAATCAATGGAGAGTCATCAGAAACTCGAGACCTACCACAGGCAGGCCAGCCCCAAGGCTCTCCGCTCTCTCCAATCTTGTTCCTTTTCTTCAATGCTGATTTGGTACAGCGTCGTACCGACAGCAACAGGGGGGCGATCGCATTCGTGGGCGATTTCACAGCCTGGGTCACAGGGCCAACGGCACAAAGCAACCGCGAGGGAGTCGAGTCAATCATCGAAGACGCGTTGGACTGGGAGAGGAGAAGCGGTGCGACGTTTGAGGCGGACAAGACAGCTATCATACACTTCACCCGACAGGACTACAAAACCGATTCGAAACCTTTCACGATTAAGGGACAGATGGTCCAACCGAAAGACCATGTCAAGATCCTAGGAGTCATCATGGACGCCGGGCTCAAATACAAGGAACATATTGCGAGGGCAGCCTCTAAGGGTTTGAAGGCAGCAATGGAACTGAAGAGGCAAAGAGGCTTGTAGCCAGTGCTCCTAATAGTGTAAATAGTGCGTGTGGACACCCCAAACTGCTCCTTTAGTGCGTGTGACTGGGCGACACTAAACCACCAGTGCGTTGAAACGACCACACTAAACTACCAGTGTGCCTGCAAGGCCCACACTGCACTGTTAGTTCGTCTGTCACTTTCACACTAAACCATAGTGCAAATCATGGTCTGCACTATTAGTGTAAAATTCAAAGACTACTTGAGGCCGTTCCCCGTATATACTCTCAGTGCTCCGAATTGGCGGTTCAAATGGGCTAGGCTGCCTGGACCGCTTGGACCGCCTGTCATCCAGCGTTTTCAGTGGAGCAACAGCACAGTTGGTGAGCCTATATGGACGTGAAAACGCGCCAAAATCTAGACCCCCACTTCAATTTCCCAATTAGGCTCGCCTCAATGACCGCTGACCCGTGCGCACAATCATCTCGCACTAATAGTGAGACTGGTAGTCTGCGACTCCAGCACTGAACTACTGGTCCGTCTGATCGAGTCACACTGAACTACCAGTGTAGTGTGAGAGTCCTGCACTGAACCATCAGTGTAGAGCGAGAGACGTAAACTGAACTAGTAGTCCATGCACTAATAGTCTGCACTGCAGTGTGAACTAATAGTCCAGTTAATAGTGCGCACTATTAGGAGCACTGCTTGTAGCCAGCAACGGCAAGACAATTATTCACAGCTACAGTAGCCCCAGTGGTGGACTATGCCTCCAATGTGTGGATGCACCGGGTCAAAGACAAACTCATAGGACCGATCAACAGAGTTCAGAGAGCAGGAGCACAGGCAATCGTGGGGACGTTTAATACAGTGGCGACAAGCGTAACAGAAGCAGAGCAGAATCCGTACAGCGGAGAACTCGCAGCAATGGCATATGCCTCGAGGCGATCGCTACCAAAGTTGAGATATCGCAGCGTCGCACTGATCACGACCAACAAAGCCGTTGCACTCTCCCTTAGGCAACTCCGTCAGCAATCCGGGCAGGGATATATACGCTGTATCTATGATTCGATTGAAGAGCTGCGGGAAGGTGGAAATGTTGTAAAGGCTCTGTGGCTACCCTCAAGCGGCGAGAACAACCTTCTCAAGCATGCCAAAGAGGAGGCCCGGAAGGCAACACAGCAAGGAGCCACCCCAGAAAAACAGTGCTCTAGAATGCGGTCGACGACGCTCAGAACTGCGCAATCGAAAGTCGACGCTAATAAGACACTGCCGGAAAAAGTCGGAAGACACTCCAAGCGAATAGACGCAGCACTGCTAGGCAAACACACGAAACAACTCTGACCAGCTATCATGGAAGGAAGCAAATGTGCTGGCGCAACTCAGAACGGGCATGGCAAGACTAAACTCATACCTCTTTCACATCAAAGCGGTATCATCGGACCAGTGTAATTCTGAACAAGCGAGAGAGACAGTTGAACACTTCCTCTTCCGATGCCGAAAGTGGACGGCATATCGTACAGAGATGCTTCAATGCACTAGCACCCAGAGGAGCAATATCTCTTTTTATCTTGGAGGAATGTCACCATCTAATAATAAAAAATGGACGCCAAACATAAAGGCCGTTCAAGCGACAATCCGATTTGCATTAGCCACAGGCCGCCTCGATGCAAGCTAACTAGGGAGACAGGCCTCTCCCTATCAACCCCCACACCCCTACTATTTCAACTTCACCCCACCTCACCCCGTGCCAAAAGAGCGAACACCGCTTCAGCCGCCGTGGATAGGACACTGAACACTTGAAGAATAGGCTACAAGCTAGTTCGCCGTTAACACTACTAACCCATGGGAACCCGCAGAGAAGAAGGAATATGCGATAGGCAAAGGAAGTATAAGCAACAAGAGGACTCAATATGGGCTGAAGGAGACCATGACACAATTTGGGCAATGTATAGTTATGTATATTAGTAATTAATGCCCTTTCGGCTCTAGTGCCGCCGGGCGTAATAAATTGTTTGGTTGGACCAGCGTGTCGGCGTGTCGGCCGCTGATTCACCGACCGCCGACATGTACAGTAAGACGGATGAATTCCTGTCCTATGTCCGACACCTGTAACTGGTGCTATGCTCGGGCTCGGAGGGGTTCCATTGCCGTTCATGTGAATATGACCGTCATGAGTCCATTTGTAAGAGTGGCCGAGAATAAGTATAAAGTAAAATATCCTCGATGAGTTCTCGTTCATTTCATCACATTCCTAGCAACTAGCAGCATCCAAAGTATCACAGCCCTGAGTTATCAATACTAGAACATGACCCGAGTTGCAATTGCAGGTGGCACAGGTGGCCTTGGCGGCACTATTGTTGAGGCTATCATTGCGTTGAAGAAGCACGATGTGTTTGTCTTGTCGCGGAAGGTTTGTATTTGTCGTGAACTAGACCCATATCCTGGCTTCCTGAAGCATAACTTACTATCGCCAGGAAACCGATATTTTCCTGAAGCAACCCGAGGTGACCGTTCTGGTCGTCGACTATTCATCCCCGGATAATATTGCGGATGTGCTAAAGGACAATGTAATCGACACCATGGTTTCATGTCTTA